GCGTGAAGGCAAGGTGGGGAAGGCCTCTCACAGGCCCCCGAGCAGCCCAGCAGGTCTCCGGGGTGCTTAAGAGGGCTGCTGACAGGGCCGCTGGGCGTGCAGTGGCCGAGCCCTTCCCTGACAGGAGGCAGGCAGGCTGCCCACCTGCCAGCCGCACCACCCCCACCCCATGCTGGAGTTTGCATTAAGCAATCCCCATTATCACAGATGCCTGGCATTTTTGCCTGGCAATGACAGCTCCTGCAGCCCTGTGAGGATTAGGGCATGATTAGCAGGCGGGAGGACTCAGGCGGACGGAGAGAAACACCTGCAAATGGACTTGGCAGCCGGACAGGCTCCTGCAAGCTTTAGGATCCCCTAAAGGCTCAGGGGTCCCCTCAGTGGCGTCCCAGGGCCTCTGGCAGCAGAGGCTGTCAGCCGTTTCCCACGGGCGTCGCTCCTCACCCGTCCACCCACACCGCCCTTCAACAGGCTCCTGGCCACTGCCCCACACGCCATGCCCCTGCCAGGAAAGCGCCCTGGAGCCGGGCTCTGAGCAGTCCCCCTCATTCCCGGGAACAACACCCTGGTCCCGGCCCGTGGCCAAGGCCTCCAGCTCAGCGCCTCTGCCCCAGGCCCTCGGGGTCTCCAGTGACTCTGGCCGTGGCCCGTGGGCAGCATGGACACTCGCTACTCTCAGTGTCCCTTGCAGCTAGAACCAGCCGCTGCCCAACTCTCCTCCTGTCAAGACTTCTCGGAACTTCTAGGCCCAGCTCCAAGCCACCTCCTCCAAGGAGCCCCTGCAACCTCCTTCAGACCCACTCAGAGCACACGTTCCATGCGACCCTGTGCACAGAACTTCACTGTGCACTCGCTCCACCTTCATCACAACTCATTGAGGCTGCAGTCTTACTGATGCATCCACCAAGACCCACAGAGCTAAAGGCACTGCATCCAGCCACACGGGTGCAAGCAGAGGACCAGGGCTCACCTAGGACCCTCAGATCCCAAACCAGACTCTTTCTCACGCACCCAGAGGGGCCTCTCTTGCTGGTCACTCTCCCAGACCTCTTTACAGGTGTGCATTCCCACACGGACTCCCCTGCGAAATCCTGAGTTCTACAGCCGCGCTTCTCAGGGATAAATTAGATTCACTCAAGGACCCTGCCACATGCACGTCTGATTCACAGGTCTGGGGGGTGGCCTGTGTGCTGGCGCTGCTGTGATAGCCCCACCATGCATGTGGGGAGCAGAGACGGAGTAGCCAAGCCCAGACCTGGCCCTTGAGATGCCAATCAACTCTGGGACACGATTCTCTACCTTCTGGGCGGCAGCAGGGATCTGGTGGTGTTAGTCCAAGTTCAAGGTCACGAGGAAGGCTGTGGACCCTGAATGCATATGTGCATGAACACAAAGACTTCAATGTAATTTGGGGGGCTGGGGCCCCTCCCAAGACTCCCCATGTTATCCTTGGAAACCCGTGCACCTGATGGAAAAGGCCCATGCGTGACCAGGCCTGGGCCTGGATCTCCCTCCTGCAGGCTTGGGGCCACCAGCGGACTCGCCCTGGTTTCCGGTAGGAGAGAGGGTGGTGCCACTCCAGGGCATGGGAGCCCGCGCACCTGCAGCTTGGCGTATGGAGACTGCGTTTGGCAAGCGTTGGCCGCCGACTTCTCGAGCGATTCTGGGAAGAGTGTGTTTTCTCTAGCCCGGCCAAAGCACCCTGGTCAGAAGGTTAAGTGGCTTCATTGAAAAGACACACTTTTCCTTCCCAGGCCGATAAACAAGGCCGCTGCAGGGGCGCCAGCTTCCTGCACCCGGTGCTCAGCTGGAGCGGCCCAGGCCAGGCCAAGCAAAACAACGCGTGAACATTTCCGGGATATATAGGAAGCATTTCTGCTGGAAACCTGCTGTGAATGGCCGCGGGAGTTTACACAGCAAACCCCGCAGGGACCTCAGCATGGCCAGGACAAAGCCGCCCCTGCCCGCCCGCTTCCCTGCTGGCTTCTCCCCAAAGACCAAAAGTCGGGCCGCTACCCATGCCTGCACCACAGGAGTACCAGCCGAGCTCTGAGTTGTCACTGCCCAACGCCAGTCTGCCCCCTACGTGTCTGGCACTTGAAAAAAAGGGGTCTCCCTTTTAGCCAGTGCTGCAGGGGGGACACGGTCCCCAGCTGCCTGTGTCCTGAGTGCCCTGGGGAAGCACACAGATGCTGGGGCCAGACTGAGGCAGACATGGTAGCTCCGTAGGCAGGCATGTCCTGGTCCCCACACGGGCCTCTGCACCTGCACAGACAGGGCTGGCCCAGGGATGGTGGCTCCTGGCTTCTCCCATGGACATCACGTGACAGAAGAGTCTGGGGCCCTGCCCGGGCTCCTCTACTCCAGCCTGCTCTGGCAGCCACCTGCCATTGCATTTCCACATTCTCCAATGTTCCACTGAGTGAGGCACACCTGGCCTGAGGTGTTCTCCCCATCCCTTCCCTGGGCTGGCACGTGGGGGCCTCCACAGCCTCCTCCACAGGCTCCGTGCTGCTCCATGGGGGGGACCACGCCTGGGGCCCCCCTTCCCTGTTCATCCCTGTCCTTTGCCCCCTCCTCCCTAGCCAAGAGGCCCCCTGCCAGGAAGCCTCCCTTCCCACTGTGGCCTTAGCCCACACTGCAGGCCCACCCCTCCCTCATGGGACCTCACGAAGGACCCAGGCTTCCCCCAGACACGCCCCCTGGGGGCCTTCACCGCCCCTGCCCAGCACTGGGCCAGCTGACCTCGCTGGTCCGCAGACGCTGGTTAGGAGACTGCTCCCACCCCCTTCCGGCCACCATCAGGGCAGAGCTCATGTTCCCGTCGCAGCAATAGGACACACGGGTCTCCATCAGTTTGAGTCTTGTTTTATAAAACACCAGCCACAAACAGCGATGCCCAGCGTCTCCAGAGCCCAGAGCAGGCGCCTTGGTGAGGGGTCCAGCCGGGAGCACAGCGGGGAAGCAGACACAGCGGCAACGTCTCGGGGACCTCCTTCCGGTCCTTGGCAGTCACGGTCAGCTGGGAGGCGCCACAGCCGCACACCGGGCCTCCAGCACAGTCCTGGGCGGGGCTCCACAGCAGGGGCTGGGAGGCTCTGGATGCGTCTGCAGATATGCTGGCCCAGGTGGGGGTGACACTCTTCTCAGAGGCCTCCCCTGAGGTCCAGAGGCTCGGGTTCACCCCAGTCAGGAGCAGCGGAGCCACAGGGCTTACCCCATCCAAGGGTCACAGGATGGGGTCGGAGCCGTTCCAGTTCACCAGTGCCCCCTTCCACCTAAGGCAGGGCGACAGGAGAGAGAGAGCTACAGGGGCCCGGGCAGGAGCCCCTCTCTTACCCACAAGACCCTCGGGCTCCATCTGGTCCAGGCAGCTGCTCCACACTCTCACAAACCCACGCACAGGGCCTGGTGGAACACGCGTCCACGCAGGCTGAGGCGGTGGAGCTCATACACTCACTCATGCCGCAGTCGCTCTGCGCCTGGCGCCGCTGGGCCGGCTGCTGTCAGGAGACGCCCGCACCTGTGGACCCAGCGGTGCCCGGCAATAATTTGGCGGTGGCTGTGCAGACCTAGATGCAGGGAGACCCTCGACTACCCGAAGCGCGGGCCGGACTGCGGCGGCAGGAGGCGGAGAGACAGGAAGAGCTCCAGGCTTTCCCCTGGGAGCCAAGGGAAGGTAGTGAAGAGTGGGAGAAGGGCAGGAAGGTGACAGATTGTCCAAAAATGATTTTAGGACCCCTAACAAGCACTGTGTGGAAATAAACTAATCCAGGGCGAGACACAATTTAATAACGGCTGCAGTTCCAAAATAAAAGCTGTAGGTAAGACCATGAAATTTCCAAATACTTGGCTTTAACACATGGCGCTGATTTTCTAAGGCCCAAAGGAACCACGTTCTCAGTAGGTGGAGCTGGACCCATGGCCTGGCGTTGGGCGGAGTCTCCCTCGACAAGCACCCGAAGACTCCAGGAACCAGGAAGGGCCGCAGCTCACCTCCACGCGCGGCAGTCGGACCCGGCGACTGCAAGCGCTCTCCAGCGAGGGCGGACAGCAGAAGGAGCAGATTGGCTTTTCAAAGCCTGAAGCTTTCCTCCAGGCCTGCAGTCAACATCCTAACTGCCAGGGCGGGGGTGGGGTGGGAGGAGGGTTTTCTTGCTTAAACTGTAGCCCTGAGAGGGAAACAGCGAGAAGCAGCGAGGGAACAAGTTCTTCCACAGCCACACTGCCACCTGCCCCAAGGAGCGCTGGGGGACACCCAGAGCTCCAGTTCTCGGCCCCTCCCTGCCCTCTAGCTCTGCATCCAGATTCAACTACCACTGCATTGAAGATATTTTTATAAAATCCAAGAGTTCTTTTCTTGTCCTGATTCCCTAAAACACACAGCGTTCACCTCTTAGGCATCACGAGTCACCCAGGGGTGACCACGAGCAGCACACGGGGGCATGCGCAGTGGTTACACAAGAATACTCTGCCATTTTACACGAGGGACCGAGCACCCACAGGTTTTGGTATCCACGGAGGTCCTGGAACCTGTGCCCGATGGGCACCGCGGAATGACTGCAGTGGCTCTGCACGCACCCAGGCCTCCCCCCACCCCGCCCACAATTTCCTTCTCCTTCTGCCCTCGGGCTCTTTGTGCTTCCTCTCTCTCCAAGTCTGCACACTGCTCCAATTGCTGCATCCACGCCTCGGAGGTTTAGGTTGAAGGTGACAGCAGGATTCGCACTCTGACATCCCCACTTACTTTCCTTCCAGGAATAGGTACTTCTCGGTTGAGAACATCTGTGTCTCCCCTGTTGTAGGTTTTGTGTACTTTGGCCCATTCCATCTCCCTTCAGAAGAGCAAAACGACTTCTTGTCACCTGGAGAACAGTCTGAGCTGCCACGTGCTGCCTCTTGCCTGCACAGGACAGCTTGGTGTGGAAGGCGTGGTCTGCATTCGGCCTGCGTGGGAATGGTCCACGGCAGTCTCCTAGCTCCAGCCGGGCACTGTGAGCAAACATCCCCATAACCCTGGAGACACAGCCTTGCCCACCCCGTCACCCAATCAATGTCCGAGAAATTTCAATTTGCCCACAAATGAACGCTGAATCTGATCTTCCTGTTACAATGCCCAGCATGAGAAGCTGTGGTGAGTGGACGGGAAGCCTGCTCAGCCTTGAACATGACGCGAATCCTGAGAGACGCTTCCCAACCTACCTCTGCGTTCTCATCAGTGTCACTGGGGGACGTCCAGTGATGCCCAAAGATCTCGCCCCAAGTGGAGTGCAGGCGCCTGGGCCCCCGATCCTTCCAACCCCGCCAGCAGACCCCTGTCCAAGTCACCACCAGACGTCTGTGAATGGACAGGGCCAGCACCAGTCCTCCCACTGCCGGGCGGGGCGGGGCTGTGGTTTCTGGGTGCTCTAGGCTACCTCCTGTGCTTTCGAGGGTCGGGTAGATCAGAGCAACCTCAAGTGCTTTGGGCTGAGCCCCTTGATGGGATTCATCCGCACCATGGCGTTCATCTTCATGGCTCCCGGAAGAGATACTGGGACTGTGTTCCCACCACCTGACCAGGCTGGCGCAGTGAGACTGCTCCTGGGTGGGGGTACCCACTACCGATGCTATTTGAGGCTGGAGTCCGATGACGTCCATAGTAGCTGACATAGGTCCACTCAGCAGGGACAATGGCCACCGCCTGACCGGCACCACTGAGTAGGTTGTGGAGGAGGGAGAGCTGGGAAGGCACAGGGCTCATCCCAGGTTCCTAACGAGCCAGCCACCCGCAGCAGCGCACGTGGGCTTGGCTGAGTCGGCCACACTGTCTGGGGTTCCAAGTTTCTTTCCCTGTTGGTCACTTGCAGTTTTGAAACATGTCATTAAAAAGCTTTCACTGTTCTATTAAGATCTGTGGGCAAACATCACAGACTCAGGCACCAGGAGCACTTCCTGAATCCAGAATCCCAGAAGGTGACAGAAGGGAGGCCAGAGAGACGCACCTGCCCTCCTCCTGGTCCCCCAGGTCTCTGTCCCTCTCCTGCCCAGCCTCTGCCCTCCCCACTCCCACAGACAGGCGGAAGCGCCTCCTAGGCGCTCTCAGCCTGCAAATCTTTCATTTCCTGGAAAAATGGGGTTTGGCTTCAGAGCTGGGTGAGTCATATTCACCATGACTCCAAAAAGTTCGTGGAAAATGGAATTGAAATACAAGTCTATTCTGGTGCAAAGCATTTTGAAATCCACGCATAGTTGTTTTTTTTTTTCATAACACGTATTTTCCATGAAGACCCTTGTGCATACGGATGCCTAGTTTTTTTCTGCACCAAAAACAAACTGATCTTCTATTCCCATTTTCCACAGCTTTTTGAAGTCCTCACATATTTAAAGACCTGAGTAACCCTCGCCCTCCAGAACAAGAGGTGCACATGCACCCGCAGTACCGGAAACACTGGCGAGAGGCAGCTGGCAGTGACAATCAAAGCTGGTGCACGCACGACAGCAACTCGATGACAAGGACCAGTGACAAAACGCTCGCCTGTGCCACCAACAACAGGGACAGAGATGGGGAGGGTGAAACGCAGCTGCATCTGCGAGTGTCTGCAGCAGAGGCAGCCCCATTCATCACCCAGCCACCGCTGGCTTGCTCATCAGCGCTAACCAAGGGGGGGGCTTCTCCGCCTCACCTCAGCTCCTGTGGCACCGGGGGCAGAGAAACTCTGCTGGGGAGGCTGCCCAGTGCATGCTGGGATGCTCAGCAGCTTCTCCCTGGCTGCGACAACCAAAAACGTCAAGAACCCCAGGAGTGCAACATGGCCCTATTGAGGACCACAGGCAAATGCTGTGGTCCCGGAGTTCAAATGGACAGCACTCTGGGGACCACATCCTGGTCATAAACAGGCCCCCCAACTCCAGGGGCGCTCGCCATAGCAGAGAGGCAGATTTTCAGCACTGATACACTGGGTGCATTTCCTGGGGAACAAGCCTGCTAGAGCCCCGCAAGGGGCAGAGGTGGGCCTGCTGGCAAAGCTCTGGCCTGCTAGGATCACGGTGGGGACCCCGCTTGCTCACTGCCCACCTCCAGACAAGCAGGCCTGTGTGCAAGTCTCCATGCCTGCGCTCCACCCATTCGGAACCAGGAGCAGCTCGGCCTGTGCTGTGCCCTCTACCTGCAAGGACCCTCCTCCTTCCCTCCAGGAGAAGATCCGGGATCCCTGCCTGCAGAAGTGTTCCCCACGGCCAGGCTCGGGACAGACCACTCCTGCTGTCCCAGGGGCGCTCACCCCCTCCACACTGGCGGCCACTGCACTCCAGGTACCAGCTAGCAACCCAGATCTTCGTTCACAGTCCGCTCTCCCATTCCATCACCCTCCTCCTGCGCTCCCTCCTTCCCCACAGGTGCGGGGGAGTGGGGTGGGGGGGGAGGGCACACACCTGCGGCTCTTCTCAGCCTCTCAACAGCTCGGGGGAGGGGCTGTGACGCTCAGTCGGCAGCAGGGGAGACTGAAGCTGGAGCAGAACCAGCACACAAGGTGACAGCCACAGAACCAGCGCAGCTGCATGTGGGCAGCTGGCCAGCTGGGTGGACAGTGGGGCAGCAGGAAAGCCCAGAGAGCCAGCCCTCCTTCCTGGGTGAGAGACGGCCAACAGGGAGCCCAAGCAGGAAGGGCCTTAGCTGCAACAGAGGCTGCTAGGTGGGTGAGGGCGCCGCCAAGGCCCTGTCCCCAGCTGCAGTCGCATTTTTGATTTCTTGTCTGAGCCTCCAAACAGAAACATGTGTGGCCCTGCCCCAGGCCCTGGTTAGGAGTTCTTTCCTCTTCTCCCTGGACTGTTGACAACCACCTCATTTGCTCTCGCTCTGGCCAGGCTGGAGGCGTGAGGGGTCAGTATGCACATCGGCTGTGGCGATGACCCTCAGTGCGGCTGTTTTTGCAGAGATGGCTGGAGGACAGCAGGCCCCACATTCCTGACACAGGCAGCAGAAACAGGAGACGCTCCGAGCCCAAGACGTGCGTCACTCCAGGGAGCAGCCGCAGCGTGGGGACCCGGGGATGCTTCCAATTAGTATGCTCTCCTCTGAGGGCAAAACCAGCAGGCGAGGCGTGGGCAATGTGCCGTGGCAATAGACAGGAGGCGGGAAGTCACACTGCCCGCCTGGTGACCTTCTGCTGGGCTGGGACAGTCCCTGTGCTGCCTTGTCTCAGAGTGGGGCCGGGGCCCAGGTCTCTGCCCCCCATCTCCCTGTTTGTAAAAGAGGGGCCTATTTCGGGTGGCACCCAAGGTCCTTTCTGTGGACTGCAGCAAGTTACCAGGCTGCAGGTGTGTGAGCTGGGCAGCAGAGCTGGGGTTAAAGGTGGGTGATACACCTCTCCCTGGCCTAGAACGAGAACTTGGCCTCTACTCTCCCTGAGACCAGGAACGAAGTCTCATCCAGCTGTGTCTTCCATGGAGCCAAGACCAGGCGTTCCACGGGGGTTCATGTGACGGAAGGGAAACCCCTGACACACCCACCATCAGGTGCTCTACTTGTCACCCAGCCCAGCCAGCGAGGTGACGGGCGGGCCGTGTGCACCCTGCTGCATCTCATCAGCAGCTCAGAATCTGACTCCGCCCTTGGGAATGACCTGAGCTGGGGCTGCAGACTGCACCGTGTGCACCCTCTTCCTGATGGGCAGCAGGACTCACCCCGCCCAGGCAGGCCCCATCTGCAGCAGGTCCTCAGTGTGACCTCGGAAGCCACTTTCCCAAGTCTCCCCCTTTGAGCTGTTTGAGAATCTGCGCCGAAAACAAAACGCAAGTCTTTGTAATCCAATCCCTTGGAAGAGGATTCGGGAAGCTGGGCCTGCTGGTTCCCATTACGGGGTTATCTGATGGCTGCAGGCGAGCGGGGGCCCTGCTCAGTGTCTCAGGAACAGCGCAGGGAATGTCACCATGTGACTGTCTGGGTAGACCCACCAAGGCGGGGGGCAGTGGGGGATGAAGGACAAGCAGGTGGCCAGCCAGCAAAGCCCTAGCAGACAATGGGATGCTCACTCCTGGGGGAAGGCACCTAAGCCCTGTGTGTCATGCTGGAGTGGGGGGGACACTGGACAGTCCACATCTCAGCTGCCATCTGACTCACAGGGCAGCAGGGGTGGAGAATGCCAACTCTTAGGCCCCAGCCTGGACCCTGAAGCTTGAAGACCATGTGTTCCCAAGGGGTGGACCTTGCACTGGATGCACTCTCCCAGCCCCGAGGTGGCTGGGTGGAGTCTGGGACCAGCAGAGCACCCAGGCCTGCTGACCCTAGCCCCATGTCTGCACACACATTTAATGCCCCCGTGCTAGAGCAGCCGTCCCAGATCATGCGACAGTGAGCACGGCAGAGGGCGGGGCAGTGGCCCAGCCTGTGCCTCTGTCCTCTGGCTGAGGGTTCACCACCTCACTGTCACCTCTGACACACACGTGGTCACAGCAGTGTGGGGCAAGGGGAGGGAGGTCCCTGGAGACGGGGGCAGCCCTAGATCAGGAGGTGCTCTGGGCCCACGTCCACCCCTGATGTCTCTGGATGGCTCTCGGCACCACACCAGCTCCCAGGGAGGGCTCCTTTGCGGCCAGGCCAAGGCCCTGGGTCACCCTCAAATCATCACCAATGCTGGCCCACTGGGCAGGCGCCTGGTGGGCAAGCAGTAGAGCAGTCGGCAAAGAGGACTTACTCCAGCGGGGGCTGGGCAGGGGCAAGGGCAGGGGCAGGCGGGCCACCCCTGGAGGGGTACAGAGCCAGGGCCAGACGAAGCCTTTAGAGCGAGGTTCCCAGGAGTCCAGAGGTGGCAGAGGCTGTGCCCAGGGCGCCCACCTGCAGGAAGGAAGCCTGTGGCCTCCCACGCTGTCCTGCAGAAGGGGCCAAGGCCAGTGTCACCTCCTTTCCCGCTGCGGCCCTTCTCTCATCACTTTGAATGAGTAGCTTTGTACATGAAAGGAAAGCGACCTACATGTGCCCTTAATCCTCCCGATGAAAGATGTGCCGGCCCACGGCCCCGCAGGAATCTGCAGTCCCGGTCCGGCTGGGAGGAGCAGGGGGGTGGAGGCGGGAAGATGATGGACAAGGCAGAGAGGATGTGCCACCATCCCCTCCCAGGTCCTCCTCCTGATGTTCCCACTGTGTGCGCCCTTGCCTGTGGGTGGGCACAACCCCAGGCTCCGGGTACCATCTGGACCTCAGGGAGCCTCAATGGCGGAGCCTGGGCGCTCGACCACCTCCCCTGACCCCAACCCACTTCCGAGGCAGGGAAATGGATACTCCCCCTGAGGCCAACGGAGTCCTGAGTGGCAGAGACCATAACAGTGAGAGCTGACCTTGGGGAGAGCACAGTACTGTCCTGGGTAATCCTGCCACCCCCATGACCCCCACTTTACAGAGGACAACACGAGGGACACATGGGAGAAAGCAGCAGAAGGCCGGTGCCGTGGCTCACTTGGCTAATCCTCCACCTGCAGAGCTAGCACCCCGGGTTCTAGTCCCGGTCGGGGCGCCAGATTTTGTCCCGGTTGCTCCTCTTCCAGTCCAGCTCTCGGCTGTGGCCTGGGAGTGCAGTGGAGGATGGCCCAAGTGCTTGGGCCCTGCACCCACATGGGAGACCAGGAGGAAGCACCTGGCTACTGGCTTCGGATCGGCACAGCGCGCCAGCCGTAGCAGCCATTTGGGGGGTGAGCCAATGGAAGGAAGACCTTTCTCTCTGTCTCTCTCTCTCTAACTCTGCCTGTCAAAAAAAAGGGGGGGGGAGGGCAGGGGAGGGGAGGGGAGGGGAGGGGAGGGGAGGAGAGGGAAGAGAGGAGAGGAGAGGAGAGGAGAGGAGAGGAGAGGAGAGGAGAGGAGAGGAGAGGAGAGGAGAGGAGAGGAGAGGAGAGGAAAGAAAGCAGCAGAGCCAGGGTTCGAGCCCAGCAGCCTGGCTCCAGGCCCCATGCTCACAACATCACAAGCTGTGCAGCTGCCTAGGGAGGAGGAGCTGGAATCTAGGGTCCTGTCTCCCAGCTGCTCCGCCCTCTGCACTGGGGCCTGCCACTCATTGCCAAAGGCTCACGAAGGCTCCCAGATCTCCTGGTGCCAGTATGGTCCCAGCTGCAGCCCCCTAAGAGGCTAGAGACCCCCTAAGGGAAGTGAGCCCCGACCCCCTCCCCCACCTGCCCCCGAAGCCCCAGGCACTACTGCCCAGGGTGCAGAGTGGCCATGACTGCTCCTCCCGCCTCCCCTGCTGCAGAGGTTCTCGCCCTGGCAGGGCCAGCTTGTCCCACCTGCAATCCTGCTCAAGCCTGCTGGTTCCCACCAGCGACACATGCCTGTCCCTCCTCCTTCAGGCCTAACAGCACTCACCGCATCTGCTGCCTTGAGTCTGGAGGAGCCTCTACTCGCCAGCATGGGGGCAGCCCAGCAGGGCACACAGCTACGTAGCCACAAGCCCCAGTACTGTGTCTCGCCGGCCCATGGCAATCTCGCCTCAGCACAGCCCTCCAAGTGAGAGCCGTCCAGGAACCCCAGCCTCGTTCCTGCATGTGCCCACCCCACCCAGGTTCAGAACAAGGTTCGAAAGCCAAAGCTGGGCCTGACTCACTTGGTTCTGATGCAGAGCTCCAGGGGTGGGACGAGGTCGTTGTGTGTGTCCTCAGGGACCGTCTGGGTGGTATCTGGGGAGGAGCGAAAGAGGCATGCACAGAGGGATCCACGGGCACTCCCGGGACCCCACCCTTGCATGAGCAGCCTGATGAGGACAGCTCAGTGGTCTCCCACCCCAGTCACTATGTGTATGTATGTATATATGTGTATATATATATATACACACACACATATATATATACATATAGCCAGCTCTATTTCAGCGACCACAGCAATCTTCCTGAAAACGTCCGACCTCATCTCTCCCCTGCTTCAAAGCCTCCCGTGGCTCCCTACTGCCTGAAGGAGAGATGCAAAGCTGTCGGCTCTTTACCACACGTTCACCTTACGCCCTCAACCCCATCACCTGCCCCAGGCCTGGCCCTGGCCCCAGTGGCAGGGCCCTTCCACACCCGCTCCGTGACACTGTTCTCTACTGGTCCCGGGAGGGCAGGGGCAGCGCACCCACGGTCAGCCGGATCTGTTCCTGCTGGTTGGCCAGGCCGTCGTAGTAGTAGAGGTCGAAGAGCCGCTCGGCTCTCCAGTCGCACAGGAGCTCGGGCTGCAGGCTGAACAGGACGCTGAAGTGGCTCTCGCTGCACACCACCCAGATGGGGAAGCGAGGGGTCTTCAGGAAGCAGCCGACCTGCACGAGGGAAGGGCCTGGTCTGACACCCGTCCTGTGTGTGATGCCAGGCGCCCCCACGCTGCTCACACCAGAGCTGTCCCCAGAGCCCTCCCTGCCCCTGCAGCCCGGGGCCCGGGGCCCGAGGCCCGCTGCCACCACAGACACCTGGAGCCCAGCCCCGCCCCCCGCCATGGCTCCCGGTGCTGCTCATGCCGCATCCCGAAGCTGCTGCTACCAGCCTCTCCTCCTCAGGTCTGCTCCCCCTGCCTCGCCTGACCATAGCCACGACCCCTACCACAGTCTCTCCATGCTCGTCACACCCCCAAGCCCTGGCATCCTCTGTCCAGTGGTCCCGAGCTGGCTGGCCCTCCAACAGTCAGCACTGTGGGAAGTATTCAACCAACCAGGGAGCCAGGTTGCTTCCTCTCACTGGGCAACCATACCCTCAGCCACAGCCAGGGGCACGGGGCCTGCTCCCCAGAGCCCTGCCCGCCTCTGGTCTGCCCGGCAATACATCAGCACCATGAGTGGGACCTAAGGAGAATGAACAAAGGCCCAGGTGAGTGAAGCTGCGCTCGGAGCTCAGGGAGCGGGGAGCAGTGGGAGGAGTGGCTGGGAATGAGTGGCCAGAGCAGCTCAGGGCATCGCAGGTATCCAGGAAGGGCAGCAGGAGCCAGCGAGGTCAGGGCCATACCAGGACAGGGGAAACCCAAAAAGCCCAGAGCTGGGGAATTTCACGGGGAAGGCAGGTACCATGGACTGAGCACCAGGGCCCTCAGCAAGTGGCCAGCACCTGCACCCCCACTCGCTCAGACCCCCAGAGCCAGCGTCTCTGTTTGCTCAGCTATGTACGTGCCCCGGGCCAGGCTGCCTCTCCCCTAATCCCCACAGCCCTGGGGAGATGTTTGCCTGCTCAGGTATTTACAGCCACAGCCTGTGGATTAAGGAAAGAATGGGAATTATTTTTCCAGTGGAGAGAAGGGCTGACTTTCTCTGGGGCCCGACACAGAAGGGTGGGCCGGGCAGCTGGGGGTGTCTGGGAAGCAGGGGCTGTGCTCAGGTCCTAAAGCAGGGCTCCAGGATGGGATGGCCTGAGGGCTGCCTCCTCCAAAGAGCTGGGCCACAGCCTTTGTGACATGCTTACTGCTTTCTCACTGTACAGGTGCCCTGGCCCGCTGAGAGCAGGGACACGGGAATTAGAGGCCTTGAAGGACGTGGCCAGACGTGCCAAACCCCACCATACACTTGGCTTCCGTCCCCTACTCCAAAGCAGCTCCTCTGCCGAGGGTATCACCCACGACAGCGAGCCAGGAAAACGGCTGCAGTGCTCATCCACGGTGGAAAGGTGCACCGAAGCCAGCCGGGAACCGCTGGTGCAGCGGCAGGGCTGAAGAGCAGCTGCCCATCCAGAGTCCACCGTCAGGACATGAAGGATAACAGTCTACGTGAGGGCTCATTCCGGATCCCCTTCCAAGTGGGTGGCATTTCCAGAGAAGCGGTTAGCTTCCTGTGGAGTAGGGTGACCAGAGGCTTGGCGCCGAGGAGGGGCGGGCCCCACACTTCCTCCCGCACAGCCTCAGGCTCTCTCCTGTGGGTGCACCTGCTATGGTTACTTCTTAGTGGTGGTTCTTGATCTCCTGGGGAGCTCGGGAGCGACCCCAGGCCACTGTGGGCTGCTGGGTTAGAAGCAGTGATTTAAAAGGATCGATGTTTGACTGCCGGCAGTGAGAGTCTGCGGTCTCCTTCGAAATGATTTGGACTTCTGTCCCTGGCACAGTGCACACCACGAAGGCCACAAGAGCACTGCCAACACTGTGGTCCTCACAGGATTAACGACAACCAAGGAATCACACAGCCACACAAACGCAGGTGCACGGCACCGCTTGCACCTCAGGCAGTGCAGGACTTGCTGTTTTTTTATCCCTTGGGGGAAAAAAAAGCCATCAGGCACACCACTGGCTGCAGCGACACGTCCCACATTCAGAGATGCTCAACTGCAAGAATGCAACAGACGTGTGATCAAGAGTGAAACCAGGCGTCAAGAGGAGGCCCAGGAACTCGGCTGTGGGGAGGGGACCTAGCACAGCGGGGAGGGAAAGACTCCCATTTAGGAAGCCACACCAAAGACCAGACTTGACAGGAAGGTGAAGCTAGACACATGGGGGGCATGGCAGGTACAAAGGCCTGGAGGTGGACAGCAATCCAAGTGGAGGCAAGTGTGGGCGCAGCCTGATGTCTAAGGAACCACGTCGGGGAGGGGGTCAGGTGAGAGAGGAAGGCAGGCCCAGGAGTGGCCATTGTTCCAGCTGCCACAGCAAACATCCCAGACCCAGGGCTCAGAAGACAGATGACAGGCATGGACCTCCCCAGTCTGGAGGCCGCAAGCCTGAGACCAAGGTGCTGGCAGAGCTGTTTCGTTTGAGGCCTCTCTCCCCGGCTAGTAGCCGCTGCCCTCTCCCTGGGTCTCCACAGCGTCCTCCCTGGGCAGGAGTCCGTGTCCTAATCTCTCTTGCAGTGACCCCAGTCATGCAGGCTAGAGCCCAGCCCGGTGACCTCATCCTAACTGAGCCACTCCCGTAAAGACCCTACCTCCAAACACAGACGTTCGGAGGGCCTGGGGGTCAGGCCATCGACACAGCAATGTTAAGGGAAGAACTCTGCTCATCACAGGCTCAGAGGATTGGAAAAGCACCAAAGGGTGTTGACCCAAACAAGAACATGACCAGCTCTCACGCTGGTTGCAGAGTGTTGAGTTGCATCCCATTTGGGGAGTGCCTGAGTTTCAGGCCTGCCTCTGCTTCTCAGCCAGCTTCCTGGTAATAAACTTGGGAGGTAACCCCTGTAGAAGACCTGAATGGAGTTCCAAGTTCTTGGCTTTGGCCAGGCCCAAACCTGGCTATTGCAGGCATTTGGGGATGAATAAATAATGAACAAATAAAACTGTAAAAAAAAAAAAAAAAAAAAAAGGTCAAGCTGGCTTCTAGGAAGGGACAGGATTAGAAGGGAGGGTTACAGGAGTTGAAGTCAGCTGGGCTGCCACAGGTGTCCAGGCCAGCAACGCTAGCGGCTTGGACCACGATCAAAGTGAGAGACGACCTGGAGACAGAGCACGTGGCGTCCTGCTGGGGCGGGTGCACCCCTGGCTGGAGCAACCGGGCAGGGGGTGTGGCTTTCTGTGTAGGGAGGATGGGCAGGAAAGCCTTCTCTACCAAGCTCAACGTTCCTGAGGTCCCCCCACAAAGACAAGAAGGACGGTGCCTCTGGTCAGGGCGGCAGCACCAAGGCCAACTCCCCCTCCCACCCCCGCAGCGTGTCAGCCCCCATCACCAGCCTGTCATGAAGGCAGTCCTCACTGGTGAGCCTTGCCTGGGCCAGCTCTGCAGTGCGGTGACGTTAGAAGGGCAGGACTAGCCGGCCCTGAGCCTGGTGGGGTCACGGCCGGCCTATGGCTATCCCGTAGGACGCAGTCATGCTGGGGCAGCGGCCTGGTTACCCAGAGCAGGGGGCACAGCTATGGGTGCCACAGCCCAGGCTGCTCCAAGTGCCAGGGCTTCCACATAGCTGTATCTGTGCTGCCCAGTGCAGGGGCACAGGCCAGGCCAGAACAGGGATCCCAGCTCCGAGTCCAAGTCTGGGCCTGGGCATTGAACCTGGGCTCTTCTACATGCAGTGAGGCTGGTCAGATAGAATCTGAGGGACCTGGTGACATGAGGAGCAGCCAGCAGTGTTAAACAAAGGGTCTGGACCAGCAGGCTCTGCCTGAGCCTGCAACAGAGCTGGAGCCTCCGTGAGGCCCTGGGAGGAAGAGCAGGAGCAGGAGCAGGAGCAGGAGCAGGAGCAGGAGCAGGAGCAGGAGCAGGAGAGGGGGCCGGGCTCTGGCTTCAGTGAGCTTGCAGCTACCAGGCAGAGGGAAGTACCGCCAGCCTGTGGGGGACCTGACTCCCAGTCAGCCAAGCACAGCACCGCAAGGGGCTGGTGTGGACCCAGGAGGCCTGGAGGAAGAGCAGAGGTGGGGTGGGGGAGGGGCCTGGAAGTCCTCAGCAGTTGTGCATTCTATGGGAAGCATGGAGGGGGACTGAGCTGCCATCAGTCAGCTTCCACAGACCCCAGGACATGGAAAGAAAGCAGGGCTCCTGGGACACCTAGGGGGTCCCTTCACCCAGCAGCAGATTTTCAGGCTGCAGGCTTGCAGAGCCCACCAAGGCTGTGACGCTTGCCAGCCCTGGAGCCCCTCCCTAGCCATGAGGCCACATTCCTGGGCGCCCGCCACACACCAGCGCAGCACCCCCCGCCCAGTCTTTGGAATCCAAGTCTGCCTTCTGTGCACTCGGGGTATGCCCAGAGAGGGGCCTGGGGGTGAGGCCCAGCAGCAAGGGACGGCACACCCAAGCACGTGGTCACACAGAAAGGGCTTAAAACCCCTGTCTGCTCCCACTCTGCCAACCCTCAGCCCTGCCCTGGCCAAGTGTCGGTGTCAGATCGGTCTCCATGTCCTGATCGTGAGACGCACGATGAATGAGGCCTACCCAAGAATCTTTGCAGGATCAGACCCATACAGACGGCTGCTGCCACCCCTCGGGACAACCCTTTCCCCATAATCAACCACAGAACAAGGACTCCCTGGAGACCGAGAAAGCAAGGCTCAGAGAAGGTTCTGGGGCAACTGGGACTAGAGGGCAGGTCCAGGGCAGGCCTGTCCAGGCCCTCTCAGCCCCTGCCCAGTCCCCGGATGGTCAGCTGCCCACTGCCTGCCCAGCTTCACCAGAGACCCAGCCCTGTCTCAGACCCTGGCTGCAGTGAGAGAGGCAGAGGGACCACTCTGCAGCAAACAGACCACGTGAGAACTGTGTCTCCCCCAAAGACGGGCTGAAACCTGAGCCCCAGTATCTCACAGTGTGGCCTTCGGTGAACACAGGCTACTGCAGATGACGTCAGTCAGGATGGGGTTTGCGGGAGTGGGGGCCTACTCCGACAGGACTGAGGTCCTTACAAGAGAAGACGACGGGGTGGACGTGTGGCACAACAGTTCAAGCTCCGCTTGAGAGGCCTGTGTTCCTTAGTGGAGCCCCTGGGTTCCAGTCTCACTTCCCCTTCCAAATCCAGCTTCCTGCTAATGCACACCCCGGGAGGGAGCACACGATGGCCCAAGCACTGGATCCCTGCCACCAGGCGTTCACTCAACACTCCTACACACAGTCACTCGTGTGCACTCACACTCATACACTCACACATATACACCCTCACATACACACACTCACACACGTTCACTCATACACTCCTACACATTCACTCGTGTGCACTCACACATATACACTCACACTCATATTCACACACACTCACACATATACACCCTCACATATACACACTCATACACATTCACTCATACACTCCTACACATTCACTCATGTGCACTCACACACATACACTCACACTCATATACTCTCACACACACCCTCACATACACACACTCACACATGTTCACTCATACACTCCCACACACATTCACTCATGTGTACTCACACACATACTCACATTCCTTATCACACACTCTCACACATACACACCCTCACACATATACATACACTCACACATTCACTTGTACACTCCTCCACACATTTACTCATATGCATTCATATACATATACACTCACATACACTTAAATATTCACACACACTTAGACACATTCACACACACACACAGGTTCATATACTCCCACACTCACCTTCACTCAGTGCACACAAACACACTCACATATTCTATAGTCTCACACTCAAGTGCACACTCACAGACACACTTACACACACACACACCCTAACTCGGCCACTGCGACCCACAATCCCACCAGGAGCCCCTTGCGTCCTCTCAGAACCTAGGGTGAGGAAGCTCTGCTTCTTCCCAGGCCCTCTGTGGTCCAGGCTGGAGGCTCTGAGACCTGGAGTGCAGTTTTCCTCCCCGCCAGGAGGCCCAGGCGCTGTGGTACCTGGCACACATTGTAGTGCTCAAAGAGGGACAGGAAGCCGATGTCGCTGCGTTCAGCGATGCCACGCAGGAGCGTGGTGCTGCCCTGCCCAGAATCCAGCTCCACCACGTCGTTGAAGACATTGGACACGGCCTTCCCGGTCAGCAGCAGATTGACAAGCTCCTGTCCAAGAGACAAGGGGGAGGGGCGCATCAAGTCCCTGCAGCAGCCACTAAGAGGCTGGGGGGTGGTGCAGGCGAGAGTGTGAAGGAGAGAAAGCCAGGAGGGAGGCAGGAAACCTGAGGTCCTGAGTCAGTTTCCCTACCAGCCCCGAGGGAAAGTGGCCAACTGTTCTCATCAAAGCACTCCAGGAACACATCCTTTTTGACCGCACACGTACTCACTGAGCGCCACACGCATGGAGGCCCCGTCCCGAGCCCTGGGCCGCCGGGGCCTCCTGGCCTGGGGCACCTGCACCCAGCCTGGGGGGCTGGGATGCCCCTGCATGGCTGACACAAGATGTGGGATGAGCCGGGGCTGTGGAAACAGGTGCAGGGAGCTCCCAGGGCCACAGGCACCACTGAGGGCAGCTGGGTGGGGAGGTGACATTGGGTGGGTCCCAAAAGACAGCGGTATTTTAGTAACCATTTGTGTTTTGGAACAACTTTAGACTCAATAGAAGTTGTACAAAATAGTGCCGAGTTCCTGTGCGCCCTTCACCCAGCTTCCAGCAGCGGTAACCACTGCCCGGCGGGCCCCCTCCCCGCCGCCAGGAAACCGGCCATGGCGCGGCACCGGCTCCAGGCCTTGTCCACGTCTCCCCAGGGGCGGGGACTCTGAAGGGAAAAGGGTGAGCAGAGCAAAATACTTCAGGGGGCAGTGGTGGAGGCCGAAGGCCCCAGTCTAGCTCTGCCCCTACTTGTGTCCTGCTGTGGCCTTTGTTACTCACTGGCCCCATGAACCAACAAGCAGGTGACCCCCGACCCCAGAGGTGGCACCGTGTGCACCCCTGCATCAGCGTGGACCTTGGTGGCTGGTGGTGTGGGTCTGCCTGATGCAGGGGACCCAGGGCCCCACCTCCTGTTAGGAACGGAGAAATGGAGCGTCACGACTAGAAGGGATTTGCCCCAAGATCACAAAGAACTCAGCAGCTGAACTTGCACCCACATCTTCTGGCTCTGCCTGGCTCTCCCCCTGTGCCCGGACAGAGACCAGATACAGGCTGGTGACCTTGAGAGCCCACTGCCCCGTGAGGAAGGCCCGAAGCCCGCCCAGCTCCAGGAGGCGAGCAGCCAGGGCGCGGTGTATCAGCCACTTCTGCAAGGCTGGCGCCGCGGTGGGGCGGGGGCGGGGGGGGGGGGGCAAGTAGAGGTATCTCTTGCTTCAGGCACGCATGCGGGCACTGCGGCGACAGCCCTGTCCCCAGCACCTTCTCTGGAGGGCAGAGTTTACAGCGGACTTTTCCCCTGGATTGTGGGAACAGCATCCGGAGCTAATAAAGGTCTCCATCCACACCGACACCCCTGGCCCAGTGGCAGTGAGGATGCCCCCCTGCAGGCCACAGAGGGGCCCCTGTGGGGGGAGGCCTGGCTGCGTCCCCGCAGAGGAAGCGAGGTGAGGACTGGGAGGAAATGTCTGCTCTGGGCTCCAGCGGGCCGCGGCCGCGCCGACAGCCTTACGGGCGGCGGGCCTTTCCTCTGCGGTTCTCCGGGGCGGAAGGGCCCCGTTCTCCAATCTGAGCTGTGCCCCAAGCCCTCCTCACAGCAGGAAGCCTTCTCGAGATACGGGAGGAGGGGCAGCAGGCCTCTCCCTGCCCCCAGACTCAAAAACACACAGGGGCAAAGCTTGGTGGTCACAGAGTCCTTGGCTGCTACAAGTGTGGTCCATGGACCAGCACATGGCCCTGCCCGGAAGCCTCTCGGCCACAGCCCAGAGCCCCTGCCTCGGGGTCTGCTCTTCATCGAGACCCTCGTGGGTTCCTATGCACAGCAAAGTTCAAGCAGCCTGCTCTCGTCCGAAGGCCTCGTCCACAAAGGAAGCGACTGAGGCACGGGGAGGGGAAGAACTGGCCCCAGTTCATTCTGAGAGTGCAACCAGGAGCAGGGCCTGACCCCGCCCCAATTCTGGCCAGCAGCCTCTGCACCCAGCCTGGCTGCTGACCCCCGGGCAGCACTACTCTGCCCTCCACAAGGGCAGACACCATGAGAGCAAACCAACGCCGAGCATGTGGGCAGGGAGGCCCGAGCAGTCAGAAGTACAGCAGCCCCCCCGCCCTTCCTCCAGGGACTTCTTACAGAAGGTGGCTGCAGCCAACCCCACTGTCCCTTTATAGGTACCCTGGGTAGACCAGAGGCCCTGAACTTGCCCCTGCCAGGACCCAGGCAGATCTCCAGGGCTGGATGAGAGTAAGCCACGATCATTGGTCCTCATTTGCCCCTGGGAGACTAGAGCTCTGCCCAGCCCGTCTGTGCTGCACACCCTGGCCCCTAAGCACCACACAGGCTCCAGTCCCATGCCTGGTGGCACCCAAGCGACTGGGAGGCTCAACAACAAGCAATGGGCTTGGGTCTCCCCTGCCCTCCTCCAGGCCCTCTGAGGGTGCTCTGGTAGAGATAGGGGGGAAAGGCTGTGGTAAAGAGTCCCTGATAAAGACGCAATGGTGCCACAGCTGTCAGCAGCCACAACGGCACCCAGGGTCTCTGGGACACCATGGCCTATGTCCCAGGCTCTGGGCTAGGCAGCACCCGAGGCTGCCTGCCACCTCATCTGCATCCCTGAGCTCTGAGCACGCAGTACGGTGCACAGCCAGCTCTCCAGAAATGAAGGCAACCCCGGCTCTCTTCGTAGGTCTCTCCGACGGGAAAGCACAGCACGGGTGGGCATGGGCATGCTGCTCTGAGGGTGCTCGTGGGGCAAAGGGAGAAGGGAGGGACAGGAAAGCAGCCCCCACCCCCAGCACTACTGACCTGCGTGCAGTATCCATGAGCTCCAATCAGGTGGCTGGTGGGGACATCGAAGTCCTGGCGGATGCTGGAAAAGACAAGAAGCGGGGTTGGCGTGGCTCTGCCTGGCCTGCGCTGCCCAGGCAAACCGGCTAAGCAACCAGACACGCCTCTCACGATCCAGGCTGAGGCCCAGGGCTCCAGGTCTGGTGGCACCCTCAGCAAATCTCTGTTCTGTGCCCTGCTTAGAGGAGGCTGTCATCCAGAAGGGGCTGGGGCTCAAGCCCAGGCTTTCCGGAGTCGAGCTCACTGAATGCTGGGGACAGCAGCCTGCACTCGGCCTCACCAGGAGGTGAGTGAAGTGGATGCAAAAGGGCTCCTGGGCTGGGAGCACACCCCAACTGTGGCTGCCCATGGTGGGCACCAGGACATCCTCCTCCGTCCCTGGACCTCGGTCTGCCAGCCTGTTAAATGGGAGCAATGAACTCTAATATTCCCTGAGTTCTCAAGACAATGACCACCATCACCTGGGCAGATCTCTTGCACACGGCACCACATGTGTATTATTCCCTACACCCAGTGAGAAAAACCAAGGCTCAGGCAAAGGCTCAATTTGTCCCGGGGGCTCAGCTTGTCGGCAGGGGGGACTAAGAGAGAGCCGGGGCAGCCAGGCACTGCAGCCTGTGGCCTCTGTCCTGTGGGCAGCATTCCTAAAAGGTGAAAACCCCTTTTTCTCAAACCGGGAAAAAAACAATCCCCAGGGCTGTGCAGTGCTAGGCACAGAACGCAGGCCTCCTGGGCCGCAGCTGCCCTGTCCCTTGGGAGAGGCGAGAGGAGGAGCACCAGGAGGCCAAGGACCCTTCCTGAGACTCAAAGTCCCCCTTCCCCATGACGACACTCTAGGAAGTCCACCATGAGGAGCCTGCCCCTTTCGCTTCCCACGAAGCACATCCCCCTGGGAGAAGGCAGCAGGATGGTGGAGTTGGCAGCTTGTGACAGGACCCCGGGCAAGGCAGCAGTCACCTATCTTACAGCAGGTGCCTGGGACCATGTGAGGCCAGAGCACCTGGCTCCCCAGCCCAGCCTCTCCTCTGCTGCCCACGGTGGGGAACACATGGCTCCCCCACCACTGTGCCCAGGGCCTGGCTCACTTCCTCCCCCACACCCCAAAGAGGGCACTGAGCGGTGAGCAGGGGTGGGGAGGCTCAGCCATCACGACTGTGATTTTTCCTTTTTAGTGGATGAAATGAGAGACTTGCTCTCCATTTATGCTTTAAAAGCAAGATCGGCCACCATGCCACAAACCTAAGACACCCTGGCCCCCGCATGCTTCCCAGACAAGCTGAAACTCAAGCTCCTTGACAGTTGCGGGCAAAAGGCTTTCTTGTGGTTTTTAATGATGGGAAGGGTTACGGTCCGCAGGAGGTGGGCTGGGGTTACGCGGCTTACGCGGCGGGAGCTGCAGACAGGCAGAGGCAAGGCGGGCAGGGGGCTCCTGGGGAGGGGGTCTCAAGGCTCAGGCCGTGGACTGCCCCGTGGGCCTGGGTGGGGCCAGCGGTGACTCACGGGGGAGCGTGGCGCTCGGCTGGCGCTGGCTCAGGCAGAAGAATTGATGGAAACGTTGTCCGTGGCAAATACAGGCATCTTCTGACGAGAAGAAAATAACCTCAAAGCAGCCCTGGGAGGCGCGATAAGCATCGCTGGCCCCAGGCCACCACGGCGCTGACAGGCAGCCCGCTCTTCATAAACTCACGGCCGCCTGCTCACCCTGCGGGCCTGGGAGCCTACGTCAGCTGGGAGCACAGGGACAAGCAAGGGAGGACAATGGTGGGAAGTGGTAATTGCATCCTTAGGTGCAAACACGATGGGAAATTCAGACGTGTGCATGGATCTTAAAAGGGAGGAACATCTGTATTTCACATCAGCGCGTTTGGGAGACGCCGAGGAGCGGCTTATAGCCTAGGAGATTTATAACACTGGCGGATTCTGAAGCCCAGGCTTCCCGCTAGGGGAATTCCCTGGAGGGCTAAGGGCTAGGAGTCCCGAGCAGGAATGGCAGCCGCCAGAGAAGGGACACGCACTCAGGGCTATCCAGACCCCACCCTGATCCCCTTCTGCTGTGCACTCGCAGACCACTCCACACCCCCACCCTGTGCCTCAGCCTCCCCAGCTGTAACACGAGGGTCTTGGACAAGACGAGAAGGGTTAACAGCTAGTTTGTGTCCCCTCAAAATTCTGTGTTAAAGTCCTAATCCCCAGCACCTCCCAACATGTATCAAGAGTCAGAGGTGTTTAGGAACGAAGTTCAAACGAGTGCATGAGGGTGAGGATCGGTGCTCTTAGCTGAAGAGGAAATAGGGCACTCACAGGGACACTAGGGATGCGCACGCCCAGTGAGAAGGCGGCCACCTCGAGTCCAGGAGGAGCCTACCCTGCGGGCGCCTTGTCCTGCCACCGACCTCCTCAGCATTCCGGAAGCAAAGGGCCCAAAGCCTGCAGCACGGGTTTGGAGATGTCCTGGCCATGGAGGTGACAGAGAAAGGAGAACAGAGGGGCTCTGTCCAGGACGCCAGCAGGGACTGATTCTCCTGACTCTGTGCCATCAGGACGTCCCCAAGCCACTGCAAGGCACCAGGAACCAGACCAAGGGGACATCAGCACTGGGAGAGCCGGCAGGGCTCTGAGTTTCACAGATGGGAAGATGCCTGGTCCAGAGCTAGCGACAACGCCAGCCCAGCTTCAGGGCCCAGGGCTGCACTTCTCTGCACCTGTGCCTGGCCACACGTCCCGGAGCAGGCAGACAGTGCCCAGCCTGGAATGTGCACAGCCTCAGATGCATCTTATCTTTCTCTCCAAGGCCTTGGGGGCAGGATCACCACCTCCGCTCTACTCCAAGAGACACTGAGGCCCCATGAGGCGGAGACTCTTGTGGTTGTGCGGTCACAATTAGCCAGGAACAGGTCCCCAGCACCCACAGCACATGGGACCTACAGAGGCCTGAACTGTCAGACAGCCTGGCCAGCCAACTCCAGGAAGGGCCTGGAATCCTGAAGCCCACTCAGAGCCCCCCGTCCCTTCAGCTACAAGCTACTCCATGTGAATCTGCCATCTGGCACAGATGTTTCTGAATAAGGAGGAAAATATGTTCAAGTGGCCTGGAGACACAGCCCAAGTCTATGGTAACAGCCATTCGCCCAAAGCCACAGTCCACAAGGGGGTCAGCAGCCAGCTCAGCAGGCAGAGCCCTCTCTCAGTCTCCGCTCTCGTTTATAAAACCAGAACAGGGGAGGGTGCCTCTGGCTCCTCCTGGGCTATGGACAAGTGTGCCCCGCCCATGACTGATACTAAAACATCAGGCCCATCACTGGCAGTGACCTCCACCTCCCCATGAGGACACTGGGCCCTGGGGAAACCGCACTACACGGGGCAGCTCCCACCAGGCCCTCCCAGAGCCTCACCACACTTCCGGCCGCTGCAGGGAAGTTGCCTTTTCAAACAGCACCAGTAGGGAAAGGGCAGCTGTGGGACATCCAGCACACAGGCAGCCCTGGGTTCAGATCCAAGTATGTCTACTTTCCGGTAATTCCCCACCCCCCGGCCTCAGTTTCCCCAATTGCAGTGTGGGTGTGGTGATGTCTCCTTCTGTTATAAACTGTTGTGAGAACTGAATAGGGAGAGCTATATAAAGCACATGGCATTTCCTCTTTCCTACGATAACAACAATAAAAACAAGAAAACAATGACTGCAAGGTCATGATTCCTGCAACCTCAACCATTCGTATCACGGCCAAGAGCCCAGAATAAATTGAGACCTCCAGGCGGTGGACGTGTAGCTGTATCTGAAAATGGTTTGGACAGAGCAAATATCGACTGTTTCCCAGGAAGGCCGAGCTGCCGTGGGTGATGAGTCACAAGCGGGTGTCAGGCCCTGCCCGCCGCCGGCTCTGGGTGACCTTTAGTAAATCACTTTCCACTTCTCAATCTACCATAGTAACCACTTCAAAGTGTTACTGCAATGAGACCAGGCCACAAAAGGACCCTCAAATAGTGGGGTCTGCACAGCTGGAGGGCTTGGGGTCCAGGCAGGGAGAGGAAGGGGCTAGGCAGCCCTTGGCTGCCTCTGCCTCACCACCCCCCACGTTCCCTTCTGAGAAGGCCTCGTGCAGTTGGTGTCCCCTAACCTCACCAGTCTGTACTTGCTGCTGCCAAGGCCCTTCCTGCCTGTCCTTATGTCCCTGCTCAGGGTCACCTCTCCCGGGTTCTCCCCTTCCCAAGGGCACCCGCCAGCTGCTCTTCCTGCACCCATCCTGTCCACAGGCAGCCAGGTTCTGTTCTATCCATCTCTCCCCCGCCTCTGACCCATGCCCAGAACTGCTCAAGGCCCTACAGGTGCACAGCCAACAGGCCCCCTGTGGTACGTGACCTGCCCATCTGCAGAGGTGTTCTGAGGGAGGAAGGCCCAGGCCCAACAGCTTCGGAAGCTGGGTGGCAGGGTCTGAGCAGAGGCAGGTGGGTGAGCAGCCCACCCACTCAGCTGAGACTGGCCTAGCACAGAGGAGTCCCCCGTAAGGTTAATCACCTTGTCCTCCTCCCCTATTACATGCAAAGCTGCACAGGCTGGTCCAGGGCCCTTGCTACCTGCTGCACAGCCCTGTCTGGGTTCAGAGAGCAGCCAAGAGTCAGGGTTCAGGGTGTGTGAGGCTCTGCTCAGGCCCCCATTATTCTGGGAGTTTAGGTGGAGTCCTGGGAAAGACAATGAGCATCCCACTGGGGGTGTCTGGGTGGGTCCCGCACACGCTGGAGCAGAGAGCTTTGTAACCACTTGTCTCCGTTTCTAAGAGAAGTACCCAAGCCCACCCCCCAAAACCACCTCTGTTCCCCTGTTCTCATATCTTCCACACTTCTACTTCCTAACTTCAGCCCACACCTCTGCTGGCCAGGGTGTGGACCTCTATGTGTTGTGACTGCTTCCCCGGGAACCCCCAGAGTTCACATGCCCTGTGATGGGCATAGCCCACATCTGCCCATGACAAAACATCAGGAATGCGGGCCTGGGGCCTGGCACCTGGCGGTCTGAGAAGCCCACCACGCAGGAGGGCCAACCTGAGAACACAGCTGGGACAGAGGAGAGAATGAAGAGACAGGAGAAACACAAAGTCCCAAACACAGTGCTTGGATCCAGCCACTCCTGAAGCCCACGATTTTGCTACAAATCAACTGGTAGCTTATGCTGGCTAGGAACAGAGCTTCCATCATTTGCCTATCCAACCAACACTCACGGTCAGCCTTCAGGGCTGTTTTCTCAAAGCATAGCCATCATTGTTCTGACTGTGATCAGGAAACAGCAGTCACTGTGCTGTGCATGCTCTGTGCCTGGCTTGTGCTGTTCTACAGTGACACCAGCCAATGACAAGTCCCTGCCTTGTGGACTTGCAGGCTTGACGTGGAGCAGCTGGAGGTGCCCTGGTGGTACACACTCCTGAGCTGGCTCCTCCAGGGCCCAGACACCAGGCCAGGCCAAGTCAGGAGAGGCCAGCCCGCCCGCCTGAGCCAGGCCTGTGCTCCCCTCGGGGCATGGGAGCAAGCCTTTGGGCTGTGTGGAGCTGGCCCCAATCCAGGGCCCTGAGCTTCCCTGGGGCTTGTGAGGACCCCCTGGAGAAAGCACAGGCTGTGTAGCTTGCAAAGTAGCAGAGCCAGGAGAGCGTGAAATCCTGCATGAGAGTTACCGTAAGCAACTCAAGATCTTAGAAAATAAATGGCTTGAAACCCAGTGGAAAAAAATAAAACCTTGCACACAGCCTGGGGTAAACAGATCTCAAAGGCCTGTTTTTCTAGACTGTTCTTGGGGCCTCTGAGGGTGAAGTGGCCAGGCAGCAGTCAGCCTGCACTCAGCTCGGTTTGTATCTCATGGCGCGCCTCCCTGGCTCTGAGCTGGGTTAGGAACGGCCAAGGGCCAGGAGGTGTGGACTCTGATACAACGGCAGCCTCTGGGCCCCAGGAGGGAGCCCTCCAGGGCCCGGGCGTGAGTCTGAAAGCTGTTGCCAGGAAGGCGGGCCCACCATGGCCTCCTTGTCCCTCACAATCACACACACATACACACACACACACACACACACAATCATGTCATCCTCTGCACGGTGCCAGACACAACCACCAGCTCCCACATCCCCTCACACCCAGTTGCAAGTCACCCGTCTTGCCATCCACGCCACAACACTGTATCGTGACACACGCACAGCCTGGAGAGGTCTCCCAGCCCCGGCTCAGCCTTGCCCCAGCTCAACAGCACTGGATCTGCTTGACCTCAGAGGTTGCCTTATCTCCCTGGGCTAGCAGGGCGCGTGTCCAGCTGCCCAGAGTAGTCCCAGATTGTCCTGAACTGGGATCAAAGGAGTCTGGGGTGAAGCAGAGCCTGGGCTCTGGAGCAGGAAGGCCCTGGGCAGTCATCTGGTGCCGAGGTTTCGGAGCTGTGTTCGCAGAGCTGGGCTTCTGCAGAGGGCCCTCCAGGGCTGGGGCTGGGGCGCAGGATCTCCCCCTCCCCATTTCCGTGCTAGCATCTGCTTTACACAGTGGAGCTTTAGAGAGAGGGTCACTTGGGAACAAAGTCAGATTTTGTTTCACTAGAAAAGAATCCTAAAAGCACTAACCCAACCCTCTCCAAATAAGGTCCAAAAGCATGGGCAGGACCGGCTACCGGCCCTGGGGCAGCCGAGCTGAGACGAGCCCCAGGGTCCTGAGGGTGTGCTGGGGTTGACAGGCGCATGCTCTCATGCCATGGTCACCCTGTCAGGCTTCCCTGGGTGGCATCTGCACTGCTGTGTCCAAATATCACATAGTGGCCTCTGCCGGTGGCCAGCCCTTGAGGTGGGTGTACCAGTCCCAGGACCACTGCCCCTGCAGGGCAAGGGACCGGCCCGTGAGGGGGTGTGGACCCCCCATGTCTACACACGAGCCTTGCCAGTGCAGAGGTGCTGGTGGGTCAGTACCAGCTGTCCCGGCTGCTCCTGTCCTCAGGGTCATTCCTGTCCTCCCTCCTCAGGAAGCCCCCTGACCACGGGCTGGAGGTGGGGCAGGGGCAGGGCGGCTCCACTGAGAGCTCCTGGCCTCGTCAGTGCTCACCAATCCGAGACCAAGGGCAGGCAAGGGCAGGAAGGGTGCAGAGGCGTCTGAGCATGGCTGAAGACAGTTCTGGAGCTACCACTCACTGTGCTGGCCTCATCCACACCAGGAGCCAAGCTATGCAGGGCTGTGGCCTGCAGGGTGGGAGCTGTCACCCCCACCTTACAGAGGAAGGACCCCCAGCTCGGGGAGATGGGTGCAGCCCTGAGACCGACAAACCCAAAGAGCCAGCCCGGGGCCACCAGTTTTATTTCCTGTGCAGCTGTGCAGCACAACACTCATCTCTGAAGCCAGAGTGATCCCAACAGTGCCCACCTCGCTGTGCTGCTGGAGATTCCATGAGCTCAGAGGTCAAACGCTAAGGCAGAGCACGGGCAGCCGGGGCACTGCTTCTCAGGACAGGGTCAGAAGGCCCCTGAGGCAGCACAGAGCCAACCCTGCCCTGCCAGGCCCCTCATCTCAGCCGGGTCTCTACAGCTCCTCTGCAAGAAAGAGGCCCACCATGCATGTCTGTGTGGATCCACGTGTGCCTACGTCTGTGAGCATCTATGCGTGTGTCTGCATGTGTGTCTATGTCTGTGGGCATCTATGCGTGTGTCTGCATGGATCTGTGTGTGCCTATGTCTGTGGGTATCCATGCATGCGTCTCCATGTGTGTCTACGTCTGTGGGTATCCATGTGCGTGTCTACATGGATCCATATGTGCCTACGTCTGTGGGCATCCATGTGTGTGTCTCCATGTGTGTCTACATCTGTGGGCATCCATGTGTGTGTCTCCATGTGTGTCTCCATCTGTGGGCATCCATGTGTGTGTCTCCGTGTGTGTCTACATCTGTGGGCATCCATGCACGTGTCTGTATGGATCAGTGTGTGCCTATGTCTGTGGGTTTCTGTGTACACACTGGCAGGGCCATCAACATGAGACTGTGCAGGTCCATCGGGCAGCCTTCCCCACATGGATGACACCCCAGGTGGCAGGGCCTGGGCAGGGACCGACGCCTGCCAGCTTGGGTGTGGCAGGGAGCAGACAGAGCGGCCCTAGTCTTCCAGCTCTGTACCTCATGAAGAGCATCCTGGAGGCAGGCCTGCAGCCCCTTCCAGAGGGGAGGCCACACACAAGAACACTATGCCAAGCAGTGCCCACTCCCAGCTGCATGCCCGGACCCTTGAGGCAGAGGGCCCTGCACACAAGGGGAAGCGGAGGTCAGCATCACCAGCTTCCCCCTCATGAGAGCTGGGGATCCCCACCCCACTGCCCCTGCCAGGGATTAGCAAACCCAGGCCTGGGGAGAAGGGGGCGGTGTCCAGTCACCGTGCACGTGAGCCCACACCAGGAATGAAGCGTATCATTATGGCAGGATTAGCAGAAAAATGCCACTGGAAAGTGCTGTGCACACACTGCACTTAATGAGGTCAGTAGCAGCACGCAGCAGGCAGGCCGGTGCACAAGGCCACGGAGCCCCACGCCCCTCCCCCCTGCAGCAGAGGCTCAGGGACAGGGACAGGGTCTGCCAGGAGCAGCCGGGGCAGGCCAGCCAATGGCTTCTTCTGCCAGGGCCTCCCCAGGCTGGGCACCACGAGGCTATTCATTCTGCCTTCCACTTCCCACTGCTGGGAACTGCTCCCCAATCTTCCCCACCCCTAAAGTAAGAGTGACCCCGCAGGTCTCCATGCTGTCAGGGGTGGAAGTGAATGGGGGCAGTGGACTGCACTTACTCATCTGCTTATTCACCCTCCTAGTGACACAAGGCACAGGTGACAAGTACAAGCTGGGGAACGAGGGGCCCTGAGGCATTCCCGCCCCGGGGCAGCCTGGCGCCACGTGTGGTCACGCTGCTCAGAGCTGGAGTCAGGGACCCTGGCAGCAGAGCCAAGCAGGAGCCAAGCAGGGAGATTTAGGACAAGCAGCTGGCCCACCTCTCCTGCCACCAAAGCTGCCTGGGCACCTGCCCACTCAACCCCCTCAGAGGCTGGCCCTGGATGCCAGCCTTGGTCGTGTTGCAGGACTGCCTTTACCGACAGCGAGCCCAGCCCGCCTTGAGCTCTCGACATCACCCAGCCCTTGCATGTGTGCCAGGTGTGCACACCCCACCCCACAGTCCCTGAAAACTCCTTGGGCTGTCCCCAGCACACATGGGGAGGCCACGGGGCAGCAGCCCTGGACAGGTATGTGTGCAGAATGCAACTGGCTCTCTGCCCACTTTCCCCTCCTCCACTTGGACCATGTTCACCGAGCACTGCCCAGGGCTACAGGGTAGTGAACACTTGCCACACACACACATACCCGCAGGTTGGGGGGAAGATACTCACAGTTCGGTGGTCCTGGACAAGATGGCAGAGAGGGTGAGCAGGATGCATCCATAGGGGCCTGCCTCGAACTGGGAGGGAGAGAGGGGAGTGAGCACCCATCCAGTCTGCACCCCCTCCTCAGCTCTGGCGCCCTGTCCTGGAGGTTTCTGGGGCCTGCAGGGAAGACCTGGGCAGCTGTTACCAGCCCCTCTGCAGGATGAGGGGGCACCTCCTTGAGTGACATGGGGGCAGAGTGCAGGTGACACAGGGGCTGCCACAGAGCACACACCCACAGATGTAGAGTCCTGGGAGCACAGGGGACAGCAGCGGTCACAGCCACCAGCCATGACAGTGGAAGTGGCATGCAGGCACTGTCTCATCAAAACCGCAATAGACTGGGGGACAAGTAGTCATTACTGCCCTCTACCATGTAAGGAACCGAGGCTCATAACCTGAGCGACGTGCCCAAGCTCACACAGCTCATAGGTAGCTCAGCAGAATTCCAGGGACTCTAAGTCCAGATCCCTTACTGTGAAGAACTCAGTGTAGGGAGAGCAGTGGAGAGCAGGTTTGGCATGGTGGGGGTCAAGGAGAGGGGAGTGGGTGGGCTGTGCAAGTGCATGTCTTTTTTTAAAATATGATATTTGAAAATATCAAAATGTTGGTATCTTATTCCTTATAGATCCCATATCAAAGCAGCAATTCGAGTACTGGCAGCTCAGCTCCCAATCCAGCTCCCTGCTACTGTGCTTGGGAAAGCAGTAATGATGATGGCCTAGGTACTTGGGGCCCTGCCACCCCAGTTTGGATCACATGTCCTGGAGCCTGGCTTGGTCCCATCTGCCTATATGATCATGGGGACATTTCTTAACTTCTCTGTCTTCAGTCTTCTCATCCATTAAACAGGAATAATAATTGTAACATCTACCATTATCAGGCTGTGGGCAGGAGTAAGTGTGTTAACTCTTGCAAGCACTTGGGTCAGGCTCTGGCACCTGTTAGCTGTTAGCATCGTGCTGGTTCTGTACTGCCCGCCTGCCCAGGAAGCCCAGCAGGCCGTGGTCCCCAGGATGGGCCATGGCACTTCTGCTCCCTGGAGAATCACCAGCCCTCAGCTGCAAGTCAGTGAGACTGGCTTCACTCACCCCTCTCGGGATCATGAACTGTGGCTGGAGATGCCACCTGGTATAATAATCAGAGTTTCTATGTGTCATCAACTTCTTTTTGGACTTAAAACTAGAAAAGAATCCTGTCTCACTTGTAACAGTCAATGAGAGTTATTTAATTCATCATATTTCCATTTTTGTTCTGGCTGCCAGGAATCAGAGCCAAACATGGTATTCTATTGTTGTCATCCAAGAGTCTGATAAAATGATCTTTTCCTCAAACTAAGTCTTTATTCTCACTCAGAAATTCAATTTGTTGGTCACTCAGTCATTAGAAAGACAATGACTGGGGCAGGCGCTTAGCCTAGTGGTTAACACACCTAGGCCATATCTGATACTGAGCTCTGGCTGCTGACCCCAGGTTCCTGCTGATGCAGACCCTGGGGGTCAGCGGTGATGGCTAGGGAGCTGGCATTCTGTCACCCAGCTGGGGGAACCTGGATGGAGCGCCCCCAGCTTCCAGCTTCAGCCCTGACCCAGGCCCTGTCTTTGTTGGCATTTGGGAACCAAGCCAATAGATGGGAGCTCACGCTCATGCTTGCTCTCTCTCCCTCTCTGCCTCCAAATAAATAAAAACCTTTTAACAAAAATAAGAGAATGCTGTTCTAGGCATAGGAAAAGCATATACAAAAGTTCTGGGACAAGATATATAGACATATATATATATATATATATATAGTGTGTGTGTGTGTATATATATATTGTTTGTTTGTTTGTTTTTGTTTTTTGGAAATGGAAAGGGAATGAACAAATCAACAACCTTAAATTGACCTCATCCTAGCTCTGGGATCTCAGGCCAGCCCCTTCACTTCCATCATCACGTTTCCCCCATTGGAAACCTGAGGCTAACGAAGACCGCTTTCCTACTTTGGAGTGAGGTCCACGGAAGGGCTCAGATCACTACAAGGAGGGACGCGGCTGGCCCGCACTCGGGCAGAGGGATACAGCTGCCGCACACACGGACACACGGGCGGAGGGATGCGGCCGCCGTACACACGGGCACACGGGCGGAGGGACGCAGCTGCCCCGCCAGCCCCTGCCCGCGGCCCCAGGGACGCCGTGATGTTCTCATCTCAGCTTCCCCTTCTGGAATGGCCAGCACTTCCACCATGCACTTCCACATTGTCCCGGGAAAGCCCCGGCACTTCCTGCTCTGTGACACCCCCCGACCAGTGAGGCAGGGGACACGGGTGCCCACTCTAAGCCCACCCGCCTTCATGAAGTTGGGCCCTGGGATTACAACTCGTGCCAGGCTCTGCTCAGCCTGCAGGACCCCTGCAGGGAGACCCTGCCCTGAGCCCTCTGCAGGGGGCCGAAATGAACCCCCCGCTTGGCCCTTCTCGTCCCTGCTGGAACAAAACTGAATGGCACCAATATTCCATTTTGCTTTGAAAAACATGTATGAAAATTATCTCATTGACTTCCAGCTGCCAAGCCACGGGAGGCCATGGGGCAACGTGCCTGAGTGGAAAGCCAGCCCCAGCAGGCAGCGGGGCGGGACACACCACTGGGAGCCCGGGGCCACGCCAAGAAGGGGCCATTCTTCCAGCCCCACCCTGCGGCCCTGGGGGGGCCCTGGGGCCTGCCAGACACAGCCCGAGGTGGGGGGTGGTCAGGAAAACCCAGTGAGCAGCCTATTTATTTTGGGTGGCAGCGGCCCGGTGTGCATTTCCAGGCCTGGCACGAGGAACTCCTCCTAGGACCAGGCCATGAAAAATGAATTTGGTGAGACGAGTGCTGAGGCAGCGCAACTGCTTCCAGCAAAAATACGGGTTAAACTGTGGGGGCCGAATGCCTCCCAGAGGGAGGAGAGCCGATAGGGAGCCATGGGGCCGGCTGGGCAAAGGAAGGGGACCCGTCCAAAAGGCAGGGCACTCCTGCCCTCTGAGCCCCTTGCCTGGTCACTGTCTCACCCTGGGCTATGTGGGCAGGTACTCTCGGGTAGCCCTTAAGCTGAAGCCTGAGACGCCAGCACCCCATGTCAAAGCACCAGTTCACGCCCCCAGCAGCTCAGCTCCCAATCCAGCTCCCTGCTGATGTGCCTGGGAAGGCAATGGAAAATGGCCAAGTACTTGGGCTCCTGACACCTGCACGGGAGACCCAGATGAAGTTCCAGGCTCCTGGTTTCAGCCTGGCCCAGGTCCAGCCCCCTTGTGGCCATTTGGGGAGTGAAGCAGTAGATGGGAGATTTTCTCTCTCTCTCTCTCTCTCTCTCTGCCCTTCAAATAAATAAATCTTTAAAAAACAAAACAAACAAAACCCTGATTTACACCAACCTAGAGTCAACGCCAGGCTGCCTGGCTCCGGAGGCCATGTCCTTGCCCCTGGAATGTGCAGTCCCCCGTCCACAAAGGCAGCCCTGCCACAGTCCTCCTCGGAAGACCCGGAGCCCCAGGACGAGCCGCCCCGCCTGCCTGTGGGAGCTGGGCTCTCCTGCGGCGGCCTGCAAGCTGCAGGACCAGCCCTGCCTCCTCGGGCCCCCCAGGAGCCCCAAGCAAGGGCTCTATGAGCACTGCTCAGCCCTCACTCAACCCCTCCCACAAGCCCCTTCCTCTTCATCTGCCCAGCAGCTCCTCAGCCACATTCCACTGACAGGGAGTTCACCGTGTCCAGAGGCGCCCTCCACTGACACACAGAAAGCTCTTGGGGCAGCCTCAGAGCTGCTTCCCCTTCCCTCTGACTCCACCCCACCCCACCCCTGCTTTCTGCAGCCCCAGCGGCAGCAGCTCCCTGGACCTGACCGCTCTGACCACCCTGCCCCAGCCTAAGCCGCTCAGTTGTCCTCTGCCACCACCCAGGGGCTGGCATTGCCCACCCCCAAGATGGGAGCAGGGAGAGCGAGACTCCAGGTCACCAGCATCCTTTGCACAATGAAACAGAAGGCAGGACGATGCCCGTGGTACAAAGTAAACCCCTGTGCATACCTGACGGACACTCTGCTGCACGAACAGCAGCAGCTCCTCATAGCAGGTCAAACTGTGCAGCGTGAGCTGGAAGAAACACACACGGTGAGCTGCCCACGTGCCCGTGGACGGTGCCCCGGCCTGACTGAGCTCCCACAGTCCTGGCCTCGGTCACTCCCAAACCCCACTGGGACCATCCCTGTCAGAGGGCAGGATTCTCCCGCATGTCTGCACATGGCTGCGGGCTCCGAGGCTGGCCCACCCTGGCCCCAACAGGGGGGCCCTGACACCTGATGAGAGGCAGGGGCTGGTGTGAACGCAGCAGGTGCCACGTCGCACTCACAACAGCTAGGCTGGATCCAAGCCCAGCAAGTCGCACCCTGAATTGAATGGGAAGCAGCAGGCACAAGTCTCCTTTGGAAAAACATGTGTAGGGCCCATACTCAACCAAGTGAGACCACTGGATCTTAGGATCCCAGGGCACACGTGCCCAAACTGAGGGTAAAGGAAACAGATGAGTTAAGACACATCCTCTGTGAAGAGGTGGCCAAGTGTTGGAAATCTCCACCGTGCCCAGTTTCAGAAGCACAAAAATGAATGTCCTTCCTTTTCCCGTTACTTTGTCTCAGGTTGGGCTCGGCTGTGACCTACGCTGTCCACACTGTCCCCCTTTCCAGCTTCCTCCCCATTTCCAGCCCCCTACCTCCCAATCTCCCAGAAGAACCCAGAGAGGATGCTAAAGAAACATAAAGGGAAGCAGAGGAGGCTGGCACCCGGGCAAACGGCACCGCATTCAGACCGCTGGAGGAACCCAATTCTCTACCCTCGAGGCCATGGGCAACCAGAGGCCTTTGGGCCACAAAGCCAGCTCCAGAGCCCATTCCCAAAGCCACCCACCTCTGCTCCCGCCCTAGCCCTGGGGCAAGGGTCTGTGGCCTGGGCTGCAGAGAGCGGCAGCCCAGCCCCGGTTGGGGAAGGAAGGATTTACTTATATGAAAGGAGACAGTCCCCACACAAAGCCAAAGGGTGCGTGATAGCTTTCCAGAAAGCCGTACTGTTTCTAAGACTCCATCTGCTTTGTATTTCCCCGTTGGACTGAACTGCTGAGTTCCCGAAGCCCTAAAAAGGAAAAGAAGGTGCGTGAGTCCTCCCCGTGGAGAGAGGATGTGCCTCCAGCCAGGGCCAAGCCACATGTGTCATTCGCTGAGGACAGGAGCCAAGGGCTTCTTGCTTCCCTGTGCTTTGAACTCACCCACGGGCTGGATGCAGAGGCCTCACCAGCAGAGGGAAAACAATAACAAAGGCATGGGGAAAAGAGCAGTGGGGGGAGCTTGGAAGCACCGAGCCCAGCCCCAGCAGCTGCAGGTCTGACCCCCAGATGCCACCGACAAACTTGTTTGTGGACCAGGCAGTGTCCGCTCACCCTGTCTCCACCGACACGGGAGAGCCTAGCATCTGTCCTCCTGGAGACCCCTCAATGCCAATGCCAGCACCCTTTACACAGCCAACCCAACACAGCAGAACAAAGAGCAGGGGGTGGGTTTGGGGTGCTCTGTGCCATTCGCTGCTATGTGGCCTGGGAGCAGTCTCCGTCCCTCTGGGCTCCTGAGTTCTTGCTCCACTGGCACACAGGTGGGCCATGCAGAGCCCGAGGACTGGGGTCACTAAGTTCATCGGAATGTGGGCACCAAGGCACCAGTAACACTAAGAGTAGCACCAATGGCTGTGGTGAAGGTACCTGAGTAACACTTAGGACACTGAGCACGTGCAGGGTTGTATGCACTTCACAGTATTATCATTTGTCATCCATTTATATTAATAAACAACTTAACCTGATAAGTGATATCTCACTTACTATGTATTATTGATCTGTGCTGACTCACTGAGTTGACACAAGCACCCTCTGAAGTAATCATTTTGAGGATAACAAACAGATGAGCACAGAGAGAGCAGGTCACCTGCTCAAGGTTACACAGCCAACAAACGCCACCTCGATCAGATGTAAGCCCTACCCCATGTAACTGACGTGTCCCCCAAGAGTGGGCCCTTGCCCCTCAAAGTTGCCTCCATCACTGCAGCTCAGCCTAGCGTGGGACTGGGCGGTGCAGGGTCGGGCTGGGGAGCTGGCTTGCACCTGTGTGGACTGTGCAGGGAAGAACAGGGCTGGCAAGGAAAAGGGCCCACATCCGGGCCAAGGAGCCCAGGGCCTTGGCTCTGCCACAGCTGTCACCTCTCCGAGTCTCCTCCTCCATGGAGCAGGATCCAAGCGACAGAGCAGATGGGAGCGTGCTTTGTGCACTGGGAAGACTGGTACAAACTGGACCTCCAGAAGAGGGGCTACAGAGGGGAACTGGCTGCTGGGCTCAGTGTTTTCTTGCAGGGTTCTCCCAGAAGGCACAACAGATAGGAGAAATCTCCAAAATGAGCACCAGAGCCCACGAGGGTGGCAGCAGAGCCCCTCTCCCAGCCTCAGGCTGACCCCCATGGCTGGCTCCTGGGAGGACGCACAGACACAGGCCTTCCACCCCGGGACAGCGAGGTGCACTGCTGGCTTGCTGGTGGCTGTGCGCAGAAGTGGAGCGGCTGCTGGCCATGCTGGGAACCACTTACAGGGTAACCACGGCTCGCTCCCGGCCGCCAGCCCGCCACAAGATATCCGCGATGGCCAGAGCGAGACAGCGGGTCCTGTGTGCATCTGAAGGCTGCAGCCGCCTGCAGAAGAGAAAGGAAAGGAAAGCAAAGTGCTTATTCTCACGGGGCCACAGGTGGGACTTCCTGCAGATGGTCCCTGCCACCCACGGTCGCCACTTCCAGTGCAGCGACCCCAAGGCAGAGCCCCGGGCAGGGAGGGAGGGCTCTCTGCAGATGAAGGCCAAGGGGAGGGACCTGGGCAAGGCTGCAGGGGGTGGCGGAGGGGCTGAGGAAACCCACTGTGGCAGCCCAGAAGCATGTCAGGGCCCAGAGCCTCGGAGGCCGAGCCAGGGGTGCTCGGGAGCTGCTGCCCCTGTGGACAGTGTGAGCCCCAGCCCTGGCCTGGGAACTTTGCAGATGCCGCCTTGCGCCGGCAGGTGCGCCCCTCTCTGCTGGCCAACCAGAGATGATGAGGCCGCAGGGGCTGAGTGGCGGCTGACTTGCTGGGCTTTGGATACAAGCATGGGAATGAGTGGGGGAGGGACTCAAAGATGGCCTCCGTGGTGTTAGGGAGTGTGCTGTGTGCTCCTCCACCCCTGGACCAGGGACAGCTGCGGGACACCCAGACTGCCCCAGAGAGCAGTCAGGGCTAGGAGGGAGGCTGAGGAAGAGCAAAGTGGCAGCCCTAGGACAGGCGCCTGCAGAGGAAGGGTGGGACAGGAGGAGGAGAGCTGCCAGGCAGGGCTGGGCAGGGGGGTGTCCACAGGCCACGGGGGAGGGGCAGCCAGCAGCAGGGGGAAGGGCACAGAGCCCCTCACAGTGAGAACAGGGCTGCGAGGTGCTGGGCCTGCGCTGCGCGTTTCCAGGGCACTGCAGAGCTACACCCCACGCCTTCCCCTGGAGGCCGTGGGCTTTCTCTAAATGTGGTCGTAAGCTTGCCTTCTGGTCTTTCTATTCCAACAAACAACAGGTAGTGATGATGACCCTGCCAGGCTGGAAGGCAGGTGGAGGGGCGGCTCCAGACCGTGGGTCACTGAGCTCCACGCAGAGCCACAGGCACAGCCAGCACTGGGGTTCGCCCTCCTGGCCAGGGTAAGAGAATGAGACCAGGGACCAGGCCAGAGCTCGCCATGGTGGCCAGCAGGTGCTCACTGCCCAGTGCCTGGGATACAGGGACCGCCAACCACACACAGGTCATTGTGGTCCACCTGCTTTAAAATGAGAGGCCACACAAGGCAGTGACCCGAGTTCCCCGTCTGGAACCTGGCAATGACGGCTGCTCCTCCGCTCTAGTGTTGGGGGCCTTAAAAGAGATGATGTTCGCAAGGCCCAGGGCCCAGGGCCGCCTGTCCCTGGGGGCCTTCGGGAAACATCCCGTCTCCGCACGGGAAGGCAGACTCCCAGCATTCGACTTGAGAGCGACACTGGGCCCCTGACACTGGAAGTCCTTCAAATCCAACAACCCAAGCAACAAGCATTCAAGCCCTTAAGAAAACAAAACAGCAGCCGCCCCACGCCCCCGGGCCTCAGGAAGCAGGGCATGCTCCTCACAGGAAATGTTCCCGTGCGCTCACCGAACCGGACGGCCGGGTGTCGGAGGCCAGCCAGGGCCTCGTTAACTGGGAAAACAACGTGGGGGAACACTCCCCTGGCTTCCAGGAGAGGCCCTGCCAAGGACCAAAGCGGGCCTGCAAGGCAGGGCTCGTCAGACCAAGGAGAAGCATTGGGATCTTTCTCTCTCTGCATTCGGAAGCATCAGATGTGGACTCCGTCACCCCCCACAGCTCCTGTTCCATGCCCTGCCCTCTTCCAGGAGAGAGCAGCGTCCTGGGTCCTGGGGATTGCACACGCTGAGTATCTCATCCCCAGCCTCCTCGCTGCCCGTCCTGGGTCAGCACGCCCTGCTCCTCTGCTCAGCTCTCACAGCCAACGTCCCAGCAGCAGCCCCGCCCCATCCTGCCCCTCTTCAACCCTCTTCTGTATGCTCACCACAGGCACCAGGTGGGTGGCAGCTCATCCTGCAACACATGTGAGACTGAAACCCTTAACCTGGTAGGTGCAAAATTATGCCTCCATTGCACAGTGCACTTTGCAAGTTCACGTTTATCTGGGTGCAAAACAGTTTGAAATCCACTTGTAGTTTTTCCCTAATAAACATTTCCATGAACCTTTAGGAGACCCTTCATAAGGCATGAACTTCAAATAAACTTCCCCTTGAGTTTCGTTTCCGTGAACTCTTTGAGGTCTCATCACATGCTCAGCCTTGAATACCTGCACTGGGCCACAGACACATCTGGAACTCCGGAGGCAAATGCTGCTTCCTAGGGACCTCATGAGGCAGGTCGCCCTGGTGGGGGTGGGGGAGGGGGTGGGGGTGGGGAGGAAGCTGCTTGTCTTTAAAGTGACAACGGCCAGCGAGAGGCTACCGAGTGCATGCATTTGATTACCCATCAAGTGCTCAGACGCTCGTGAGGGCGGTACTGCTGGCATCCTGTCTAAAAATGAGGAAACCAAGGCACAGAGATAAGTGATGGGTTCAAGGTCATGCACCTGGAGGGAAGGCGAGCGTGGGGCAGTAGATCCGTCTCTGGTACGTGGTTACAGGACCACAACCTTTTCCCTCAGCCCTCTCTGTGATTTCTATTTTCATTTTACTTGAAAGACAGAGACTGCGATAGGCAATCTTCCACCTTCACCCAACAGGCCAAAACCAGGATCCAGAAACTCGGTCCAGGTCTCCCACATGGGTGGGAGGGACCCAAGTACGTGAGCCATCATCTCTGGCCTCCTAGGGGCACATCAGCAGGAATCAGAAGCGGAGGTCAGACTCGGACCCAGGCACTGTGGGCCTCCTTCCAGAACGGAACAACGCAATCAAGGCATCTCGCCCCTGGGCCCCGCCTGGCTCCCTGGTCTCACAGGCTCTGCTGCCAGCCCTCCAAACCTCCGAGTCCCTGCTGGCTGCCACACAGTGGCTCCTCCAGTTCCCCACCGTCCCCTGGGCGCTCTACACGTTTCTCTGTTGAGACTTGTCTTTCCAGAGAACATTCTGGAGCTGGAAAAGTGCAGTGGTCAGGCAGTTAAGAGGCCTGGTTCCTGCCCTGGCTCACAGACTTCGGGGGACCCTGTACCCTTCCTGGCCTTTCCAAGCACAGCCCAGATGCCCCTGACATCACTCCTGTCTTGCAGTCTGCTATTCAGCCGCCAGAGAAGCCAGAGCCATGTGTACACGCGTGAGTGCCGGGACCCACAGGTTAGCAATCACGGGAAGAGTCCCCTGAATCACCCAGGACCACCCACCCACCCCACCCCCTTCCCAGGCAGCTCAGCACCTGCCTCTGGCAAAACCTCAGAGACATTCACTGCCCTGCATTTCCTGGTCAGCCACACACACATGTGACATACTCCTACCAGGAACCTGGCACCTGGCCAGGCTCTTAGACCAGGACAAGCATCTGTAAGAGTCCAGTTCCGCCCAGGAGAAGTGCAGGATGAAGGCATCTGTCCAGGGACCGGCCCGGCAGCGTGCTCTGGCCTGCCTCACCCAAGGGCTTCAGAGAAAACCAACACTTCTCCTCGAAGTGTCTCAGAATAGCCTCTGCTGGCCTCTCTGACCTGCCTGCCTCGACAGAGTCCATGGAAAAGCCAGGGGAAACCTGGCCAGGCAGCAGGCTGCCTCTTGTCTTTCTGCTCCCTCTGGGGCTCACAATCGCAGCAGGAAGGGGAGTGGGAAGACGGAGGGCCTGCGGGGCGACGCTTTGCGTCAGGGTCCGAGGGGCCTGGGGCAGGGGCCCCTTGTGCTCTGGGACTCAGAACCCGCGTTCCTAAGGAAGTGATGGTGAGAGGACAATGTCCCTGGACCCTGCCCCCACCCCCAGTTCGGCACCGACCTCCCCAGGCCTGCAGAGGGAATGAGACTCGTCCGCTCTCCCCGGCGCCAGGCCGGCCCCGGCCCTCCTCCAGTGGAAAATCACTGAGTCCCGCGCGGGCCGGCTGCTGGCCTGAGGCAGCGCGTCCTGATGAAGCCAGACAGGCCCGCGGCAGACACGGCAGCTGTGCCAAGGAGCCTTTACTTCAGCATGACTTCCTGGGACGGTGCCGCCCACCCGCCGCCTGCCCTCTGCTTCCACAGAACCCTTTCCCATCGCCTGCCAGTTGGGGGCGAGACGCTGAGGAGGGGCCTCCAGGGCAGGGCCAGCGCAGGAAGGAGAGGGCAGGGGCACCCAGGGCTCGGAGCTGCACACGGCGCGTGCCAGGGCACAGACCATGGCAGGTCACCGGACAGAACACGGCAGCTTGCCTCCGCCTGCTCTCTCTCCTCTGAAAGCAACGTCACTTCTGCCATCTCGGAACCTCAGGGCCTTAAGGAAGTGCTGCAGCCCCAGCCCAGCACACACACGGCCTGTGGGGTGCCCCAGCGCCTGATGGATCCACAGAAAGGTAGCAGAAGCGAGCCAATAACCCGAGGAGCCACACCCCTGGCTGGGACAGCCCCTGCTAACACAGGCAGGAGATGCTCTCCTCCTCTCCTGCGGGAAGTTTCTCTACCTTGGGAAAAGAAGCTTGGTCTCCGGGAACTGCGTGGGCGTCCAGCCAACAGATGCCTCACACTCACAGCCCCCAGGCTCGCTGGCAGCACCCCTACCCCGCCCCGGCCTCTCTGGATCTCGCGGCTCCAGGTCTGTGGTCAACGGTGCATCACACACCACTTAGCCACAGCGTGACCTGGAGCAAGCTCCTCGCCCTGTGCGGGCCAAGGACGGCTGAGTTCAGTAGTCCCACTCGCTCTCACAGCCCCTGAAGATTTTCAAAGGCCCTCGTCTGCATTTTCTCACTGGGTCCAACTTAGCCAAGGTAGAGATTCCTGCCCCTAACTCACAGACGACTGTCACCCGGGCCCTGATGTGGCCCGGTGCTCTCTTCTGCACCCTGCCGGGTAGTCCTGCTCCCAGCCTGGGCAGCACCACCCGCAGTCTCTGCCCTGCCCCATGTGGCTAGGACGACTCTGAGCTTCAGAGCTGCGGGGCCTAGCAAAGAAGTGACAGAGACTCTGCCTTCCTTCTCTCCCGCCCCAGGCACCTGCCCCTCACTCCCCTGCACTTCACCCAAGAGCTAACCCACCCCAGGAGAACTCTCCAGCACCCAAGGAAGGCCAGGGCTTGGGAGTGCAGAACGAGACTCAGATGGAAGGATGAGAAAGGCAGTCGCCCCTGGGGACAGGGTCTCTGGGACCCCCGCTTGTCCCCCTCTGCCATTTCCTCCTGGGTCCCCTCATCCTTCCTCAGAGAGCCCCAGCGCCTGGGCCAAGCTCTCCACTCCCTGGCTGGCTGTGCGTTCTGAGGACACCGGAGCCAGTTGGTGACCCTCCACCAGCGCGGGAGCAGCCTGAAGCGGCAGCAGCAGAGCTTCTCCAGAGAAGGGGAGGGCCGCCCCTCCACAGCACCAACTCCTCCAGGCTCCGTGGAGGAGGCAGCCCTGACCAGCAGGCTGGCCCTCAGGGCTGCTCAGCACCCCCTCCTCCAACCCAGCCAGGCAGCCTCCTAGTCCGGGAAGGCTCCTCCTCCCCACTAGGCACAACCCCGGCACGGCACTGCATGCAATTCGAGCCCCAGCAGGTCAGCAGCCCTCTGGCCTCCTCTTCCTCCGCCCCTCCCCGGGCCCTGGCCCAGGAGAGTCCTCTGCAGGCCAGCCCAACTCCTCTCTCTGGGCCCCAGCAGACAGGGAGGGAGTCCCGGGGGCCCCAGCTGCCTCCCCCGCTGCTCCCTTCCCTACAGAGCCCTGGGGAGCGGTCCATGGAGCAGGTGCTGAAACAGGCCCCTGTCAACATAAATTGAGACAGAGCCGGAGCTCAGCAGGTAACGGACTACCCAGCCCCGAGTGGTAGAGCAGACCCCCTGCCTGCAGTCTGGCTGTTCTCTCCTCCCTGTGCTGCCCTTGGGCCCACCCTGGGTAGCTTTGGGCCTTGTCAGCCATGGCTCCCCTCTCTGGTATGGAGAGCAGAGCTCTGCCCAAGGATGTTGACTGGAGGGCACAAAAGCCCTCCCACCCTCTAAGCAGGGGAGGGGCGGGTATCCTGGGCAGGCAGGGTCAGCCTTTCCTGGACGCAAGCGAAACGCTCCATCCTGACTGTTGGGAAAACGTCCACAACTTCCCCTGGCCAGTCCAAGGCTGACATGAAATGCAGCCCTGCGGAGGCGTTGGGCTGAAGGGGTTGTGAGACGTCCTCCAAGCGCGCCAAGGCCCGGCTCGCCCCAGGCAGCTGGCTGCCCTGCGTGCCTTCTCACCCCGCCTGCAAGCACTGCCCTGGCCACCCGGGGCTGTGCTCCGCTCGGCTCCCTGCCCTCGGGCCTCTGCACATCTTGTTCTCCTTACTGGCATACCGTTCCACCTCCCCTCCCTGTTTGTCTGCATAGCTCATTCACTTGTCCATGTGCTCATTCAACAAAAATCCTGAGGGCCCCCGCTGTAGGCCAGGCACCAGGCCGGGTGCCAGGGACACGGCTGCGGCCCAGGCAGCCCAGGAAGGTTCCTGCTCTCATGCGGCTTGTGTTCTGCAAGACTTCAACGATGACCAGCAAGGGCGCCAGCTGGGAGTGTGGCCATCAGCGGCAGGGCCTGGGTTCTTCTCAGCCAGGGAGGTCAGGGGAGGCCTCCACGAAGATGAGGCCTCCACGAAGATGTGGCCTCTGTGCAGTGAGCAGAGCCAGTAGGCCAAGCGCTGTGCACTCAGGGCCAGTGGGCCTGGGCAGCGAAAAAGAACTGAGGGGAAACAGAAGTGTGAAGTTCTTCAGAGCTCGCTGAGAGAGAAACACTGCTCCCCGGGAAGCCTGCCTTGACCCCTGCACATCCGGGTGAATGCTGGCCTCCTGCACGTCCCCTGTTTTGGCCTGTCCACCCGTCCAGCTCTCGGTTCAGTCTCAGGTCCCACGAGGGCAAGGCCAGCCCTGGAGCCCAGCCCAGCACCTGCCCAGTGTGCTCTGCAAACTTGTTCTGAACGTGAGACAGAAAGGAAGGAAAGAGGGGGCACAGAGAAGCCCGGTGCCCTTTGAGGGCACCTGGAGGGACACCAGGATCCCTCACTCAGCGTGTTGCGCCCAGCCCGTGGCATTCCCAGCCAGGGAGGACTGTAGCGTCCTCACCAGGAAGAGAGGCAGTATCTGTGCCCATGACATTGAACTTGAACCACCCAGCACTTTGCCAGGCCTGACTTTTGGGGCAGGCGGCTGGAACGAGGCAGCCAGGCTGCGAGGCAACGATACGGCCATGGGTCTTGCTGTGAGATGCTGTGTCACTGGCCTTATGGTTCTGCACACTCTGTGCTTAAGGTTAGTGCCTTGCGGCTGGGGAGGAGACACTGCGAGAATGCTTTTGTACAGCTGCTGAGCCAGGCATGAAAAGCTGCCTTCGCTCAGACCCTGTCCGTGCCACCGCAGTGTGTGTCCTCTGCATCCCAGCCTGGCACCCCGGCCTGAGCAGTGTTTCCCCAGAGTCTGAACCTGAATAAAAGGGAAAGCCTTACTGGCTGACTCGCTGTCTCCATAACACACAGGGGTTTTTTTTGTTTGTTTTTTTAACAAAGGGTTTTGACATGCTTATTTCAAAGAACAAGTACCTTTCTACAAAGTTCAGGAACCAGCAAAAGGAAGCCACAGCTTTAGAATTTGTGTGATCCTAGCTTTGAGCAGCAGAACCGGGTGCCCCCTGGGCAGGAGCAGAGGGCTGTGTCCTGGGCGGGTGCCCGTGGCAGTGATGATTCACGGGCAGAATGCATGCCCTTGTGAACCCTTCTGTATGTGGGCTACAGCTCAACCAAAAAGAAAAAGCTCCGAGGGTGACTCAGGACAAGGCGGGAACCGGGCCTGCGAGGAGGGCGCATAAGCAGGCCGCCTCCCCAGGGAGCCCTCAGCAATCTTCTCATCTGGGTACCGCCCAGGGTGCAGGTCCAGGGTTCTCCCGGGTGCCTCCATCTTACCCTGCCCCATCTCCCCGGTGGCCGCACAGAGACACCCGGGGTGCTGAGTGACAGAGAGCGAGGCACGCATGTGCAAATGCCGAGAATAGGCAGTGCAGAAGAAACGGCCACTGGGGGCCAGAGGAACATGTGGCTCTGGCTGTTGGCAGAGGGGAGAGAATGTGGGGCAGGGGGAGGGCCTGGGCCCTGCGAGGAAGGGCGCCGGCTGGCAGCCATGGCAGCGGCCCCTTGCCACGAGGGCATGACTTCCCGGCCCTCCCTGCCCATCCACGAAAGCCTGGCCGGCCGGGTCCCGCTCCCTTCTGGACCTCCTGAAGACAGGAGGGGTCGGGGAGCACACAGGCTGCCCTGCTTGCTTCCTCTGCACGCTCCGGGACGCCTGGGGTGAAGGGGATCCCCGCCAGGACACGCGCTGGCTCACCGAGCACAGTCAGTTCCCCCGTCTTCTGCAAACAGCAGCTTCTGCAGGACACAGCTCTGGACGGCGGCCAGAACCCCACAGGGGCCCCCCTGCAAAGACAGCACGCATTACAGCCAGGAGGACCGGCCCACCCCAGCCGCCTCCACCCACACGGCTCCCTGGGAAACGGCGCTCTGATATGGCGAGTGCCCCAGCAACGGCATGCTGACCCTGAGTCCCAGAGCAGAGCCAACTAGGCCTAGACCACCCCACCCCACCCCCACCGAGAGGAAAGGGCAAGACTGCGAGGTGTCGAGGAAAGGTAACTGCAACTGTCGGCTGTGACACCAGGGACATCATCCACAGGTCGAGGCTGTCAGTTGTCTACCCAGCCTTTAAGGCCCATTCTAATTGTCTCCTCCTCCAGGAAGCCTTCCTTGATCATCTCAGCTGGCAGTGAGCCTCTTCTGGTCAGTTTGGGATCTGTCTCGACACCCCACTAGCTGTCTTTGTCCCTTCCCACCCTGTAGTAGGAAGGCTCATTGAGGAGCTCATCCCTGTAGACACCATGCAACTCAGCACAAGGCCTGGCCCACAGCACACATTGGAACAGCACAGAAGCCATTCAGGGATGGCCAGAGCGACAGGCTGAGGGCACCCACAAAGGGGAGTATGAGAAGGTGGGTGGAGCTTGGCCACCTGAGAGAGGTCTTGGGCTTTCCCCCAGGCAGCGTGGGGCAGGAGGAAACAGAGCTGTTGGAGCTGCCGAGTCTTTGGGCCCAGATTCAGTCTCCTCTGGCCTTTAATGTTCAACAGCTGCCGCTGTCCACCTCCGTCCCTGGCTACTATTAGGCCCTCTGCTCTTCGTGCACCTGCCCCACGCTCTTTGCTGAAGCCTCTGGACTTGAATACACCTCCTCCTCCCCCCATTCACATGCCACCTGCCTGGAGGGCCCTTTCTCCAGCTCGGCCTGCAAAAGCCTGTGCAGCTCCCAGTGCTCGGCCTGAGAGCACCCCATCCGTGTCCCCAGCCAGCCTGCTCTCTCCGGCAAGGACCCAAGCAGCGTGCACCACTCACAGCGAGTGCTCCTCAAATCTGCCTTCAAGTGGAACATCTCCAAAGCAGAGGGCCTCATTCCCCAGCTCTCACTTCGCCAGACACTTGTGTGGTGCCTGACTGAGTGACGGCTCAGCAAGCTTGAGGCTGGCCCCGGGTCGGCCAGCTGGTCCACATAGGACTTGCCAGAGCCCGAGGGTGCCCCCTCCCCAAGGTGTGACGCGGGACGGCAGAAGGACCCCTGGGAGCCGAGGCACCTGCCTTTCTCTGCACGATGCCGTATCTTAACGAGGCTACATCACTGAAGGTAAAACTCTGAAGTTTCCACTCTTCATTGAAACAGCAGAAGTTGGAACCAAACAGAAGGGTCTTTATCTCCTGTAGAAAGACAGTGTGTTCATGGCTGTTTTAAAAGCAAGCAACAACACAATGTACGGTGTACACATTCCCACAGGAGTTGACCTTGACTTCTAGCAGGGCGGTCTGTTTCCTAGCAGGGTTATCTCTTTCCTTAGTATTTCCCTCATGGTTGAGGTGAGAGAAGCTTGACCCTGAGGTCTTCCATCTGGAACATCTGTCAGCCAAACCAGCCTGGGCTGACCTGGGCCAACGTCTTTGGTCTCACGGAGAGCTTGAAACACGAAATTTTCGTTTTGCAAGGGATCCTGGAGGCCCTCTCACCCACCCCAGGAAACACTAGAGGTTTTCAAACAGGATGGCACATTAGAATCACCTAAGGAGCTCTTTAAAATAGTCCTAAAATAAAATAGTTGCTGACGCTCAGGCCACATGTCAGACCAATCAAATCTGAACCCCTGAGACCAGGATCCCATTAGCTGTAATTTTACAACTACCCCAAGGGGTTTGATGGTGCAGCCAGGCCTGAAAACCCAATGACCTGGTACAGGATTTGCAAACTACCACCCGTGGGCTAATCTGCACTCCCACCTGTTACTGCCAATAAGGTTTATTAGTACAATGAAATATCCATTTGTTCTCATACTGTCCATGGCTGCTTTTACTCTGCCATGGCTGAGTTGAGCAGGTACAGCAGAGAACACACGGCCACCCAAGCTGGAAATACACGGGCTAGCTCTTTACAGAAAAAGGTGGCCAACCCTTGTTCTAGTACAACTCTTGACCATGTGTTAGGATCTTGGGAGGGGTTCCCATGAACGCTGCGCACACACCCACCCCCAAACCTGCATTTTCTCCCGGCTCTGTCTCCTCTAGACTTGTGGTTGACATTGAGCTCACTGTGTGCCTCCTCTCAACCCAAACACCAGCTCCAGACCCCAGAGATGGCCAATCCCTCCCCAGCTTACAGGCCCTCTGACGGGAAGGTCGAGCCCCTCCCTCCAGCTCCCCCACAGTGGGCTCCCCCAAACTAACACTCTCTCTCTCTCTCTCTGCCATGATTTTATACCCCAGAGGTCTCTGGAGCTTGGAGGGAGCCCCTAGACCGACCAGTGGATTCTGTAGCCACCTCACTTCCACTGGACCCTTCTTAGCCAGCCGTCTCCCAGGTTACTTCCCACGAGAATGGGTTCTTTTGTCTTCTTGTTGGGTATGAGGAAATCCCCGTGATGAAATCATCATCCGTGTGTGCTGATGGCACACAGCGGACAGGATGGGCACGTGCTCCCCCCAGGAGCTGCATCTCCTTGTGCCAACTACAACCACCCACGTGTTGGAACTGAGCTTCCCAACAGCCTGGACCCCGCAGAGCCTGGCTTTGCTCCATCCTCTTAGTCACAGCATGGCAGCTCCGGTCAGGCACAGTGTGGCCGTCGGAGGCCGGAGACCTCGCTGTGGCTGCGCTGGGCCCCGGGCCCTCCTCCTCTCTCTCTGGGCCGCACACAATGCAGCTGCATCTGGACGGGCCCTTGCTGGGTGGTCTCCACTGGGGCACTCTCTGCAGAGGCACAGCCCTGGGCTACTCTCAGGTGAGGGCCCACTTACATATGTCTGGCCTCCTGTGGCTTCAAAGGATGGACAGGAAGGAGGTGGGGGAGAAGAGGAAGAAGGGGTGAGCAGGACGGAGAGGCGACAAAATCTCTGAAAAGATCTTGTGCTTTTTGGTCTAGTGCGAAGTCAGTGCACAGCAAGAGGGAAGGGAAGGTCAGCTGTGTCCCCAGGGCTGCAGCTTTTCTTCTGGGATCCTGGCTGAAAGGCCACGGGAGGACAGCAGGGGTGACATTCCGTCCTGCAGGAGCCTCTGGCCAAGGGCGGGGCAAGGCATCCTGGAGGCTGAGGCTGCCTCAGAGGAGGTTGTCAAGACCAGGAGCCTGCTCCCCGCAGCCTGTGCCCCAGGGTCCCCCCGGAGGCTGTGGCTGTGTAGTATCGTTAATACCCCTTTGTCCATCACTCACTGCAGCCCAGCCAGAGCCCAGCCGGGGAGCCCAGCGCAGGTGCATGGAGTGGAATGCAGGTGCATGGAGTGGAGTTCTGCAGTTTAAATGGGGGGGGGGCACCATGACAAAGGACACAGTTCCCCTGACCCTTTACATTCTCCCCATGACCAAGAGATGACACTGAGATGGACTGGGCCAGAAAGAGCCAAGCCCTCATCAAGTCACACCAGATGAACTCACGTGGGCACCTCCTGGCTCGTCTACAGCGACGCCTACCTTCGCTACTGAGAGGTCGATCGGCTCCGATGCTGTCTGCAGCTTGAGCATCGATGGGGCCAGAGGCAGGATGACTTCCTCCCTTACCAGATCATCTTCCACGTCCTCTGAAAGAATGGGAGCCCCTCGTTAGGACCCACAGAGAACAGACTCTGACGTCACTGTCCACCGTGGACACGGGGAAGTCGGGCGAGGCTTTGAGTGAAAGGAGGGGTCCTCCTGCCACCACCCCAGCCTCTGCTTTGGGGCTCCCAGACCTGCACTGGCAGGGACGAGAGCAGACGAAGAGAGACCGGGCTCCTTTGTCACTGCCCTCCCTGACCAAGCCACAGGATGTGGCGGGTAGACTTCGCCACGGACAGCCTAGAAAGTGCCACATGTGGACGTGGACGTGGACATGCAGCGAAACAAGCACCCAGGGCTGAGGCCAGCCCAATTCCTCGGGAACGTCAGGACGGCATGCCGAGTGGCCCTCCTGAGGACAAATGCAAAGACGAGAGCGAGGAAAGGAAACGCGAGCAGCCCCCGTGAAACAACCCCACCAGCAAATCATCACGACCGCAGCCAACATTCCCCACCATTGAGATTGTGCCTCCCACCCAGTGATCATCACTGCCCTGTCCACAGATGGGGAAACCGAGGCTTAGCAGAGCTCAGTCCAGCAGGCGGAAAGCGGCAGAGATGGGACAGAGACCCAGCTGACCCCTGATCACTCAGCCTGTCTGTCTGCCCTGGCCTCCTGCCGCTAGGACCCAGAGCCACGTTGCACACACTCATCTGAACCAGGGCCAACCGAGGCCCACGGAGGGTCCCATCTGAGCCTGGCAGCACTTCCCGGGGGTGCCCAGCCAGCTGAGGCCCCCTCTCACCAGTCCACCTGCTGCCACCATGCTTACCAGGACGCCTTCTCTTAGGGGCCCCAGGAGACAATCCTGTGGCAGCTGTGCTGGCAGAGCTGAGCAGAGTGGGCGGCCCCGGGGGTGGCTGCGGCCTTACCTCTGGGACTCTGGCCCTGCCTGTTTGGGTGAGGGACAGTGGCTGACATCCCTCTTACCCTACAGTCGCCTTTCCTCCCCCGGGCGAGGGGTGGGAGGGGTGGGGGACAGCACGGCACAAGGCAAACTCCCAGAGCCTCAGCCACTGACGGAGGAGATACCTCTGAGCTGCAGGGCGCTGGAATTTAAACAGGAAGCAGAATTTCAATGAGGACTCTTCTTAAAGAGTCTCTGGAAAAGCTACCCTGTGACCTTGGTCTTACAACAAATAACCTGAAATAGAGACCAGATGTGCACTCAGAAACATGCATGGGAATTTAAAAGCAAGTCTGGGGTTGGGAGGGAGGCAGCCCGGTCTGAAACTCGCTCTGCCCGGCCCAGGAAGGGAGGTGTAGGGTAGAGGCCAGCAGGGGTGGGGGTGGGCAGAGCATGGTGGGGACCAGGCCGGTCCCAGGCAGCCTCCCTTGGCTTCGCAGGGAAGAACTGGCCCAGTGCAGGGAGTTAGTTCAGGACCATGGAGCAGGCCTCGGGCCCAGCTGAGGGAAGACCGCCATGCAAGGGAAAAGCAAAACACTCCAGATGACGTGTTGGCCAGGCACACAAGACCATGTGCAAAGGCCAGCGGTTTGAGAACGCTATTTTAAGGCCCTGGTAACAAGGTCTGGCTGAAAACAAGCAAGAGGCTTTGTTTTCCATATTATTTTATGTGCCCTTTGGAAAAAAAAAATATATATACACACACATGAGGGAACTTCAAAAAGAACATGGAAAATGGAATTAAAAGATAATTTTACTTTAATGCAAAAAAGTCTGAAATTTGTACAAGATTTTTTCATGAAAGGAATTTTCCTTGAACTTTCATAAGATCTTGCATAATATAATTGATTTTTTAAAAAAATATTTATTTTATTATTTGAAAGAGTTACACAGAGAGAGGGAGATCTTCCACATGCTAGTTCACTCCCCAAGTGGCTGCAACAGCTGGGGCTCAGTTAGGCCAAAACCAGAAGCCTTGCACGCCATCCCGTTTCACCCATGGGCAGCAGTGGCCCAAGTACTTGGATCATCCTCCACTGCTTTTCCAGGCCCATAAGCAGAGAGGTGGATCACAAGCGGAGCAGCCGGGACTCGAACCAGCAGCTTAACACTCTGCACCACGATGCCAGCCGTGGTATAGCTGATTTCACTTCAAGGACTGAAAGGCAAAGGGGGATGATGCTCACTCTACGGCCTCCTCTTCAGGAGCCTGCACAGTGTCTGCCACTGTCCACAAGATGCATTCTGGAAGCAGCCAGCACCAGACACAGGGGTGATAACAGGCCCCTTTGCTCCACCAGCCTCCGCCAGAGACCGGCGCATTCCAGCCTCTGGAGCACCCTGCCCACGATGTCTCCCACCTTGCCCACTCCCACCGCCATCTTCTCGCCATCGCTGCAGGAAGGGGCTCATTTTCCTATTTGTTCACCCAGTGCTTTATCCAGCACCCACGCTACGTCAGGGATGACGCGGAGCAGAGGAGCTGCCACCTGTCTTCAAGGAGCACACCTGCCCGAGGGGGACACAGAACCCCAGATAAACTGCAGCGCAGTAAGCACTGCCCCAGGGCCATGATGAGGGCTGGGGAAAGCCCGGGGCCTCCCTAAGGGGCTGCTCCAAGAGCCCCCCCCCACCAGTCTGCCAAAAGCCAGGATCCTACCCCTAATGTCCATCCTGCACCTAAGTCCAGACACAGGCTCCAAACGCACAGCTCTGATGGCACACTCTCCAGCACAGAGCCTTCCAGGGCTGCTTTCTGCCTGGGACTTACAATCCGGCCCTTCTCACAGCTCGGAGAAACATCTCTGCCTACCCCAGCCTGTGCTCCTGGGACCCCCAAACCCTCCCCTCGAGGCCAGTCGCCTCCAGCCAATCTCACTCCAGGCCTTTGCCCACCTGGCTCCTTCCATGTCTCTTTGGCGAGGCCCTGAGTATCCTTCGAGGTGCAACCTAAATGCTACCTCACCATGGAAACTTCCAGAATCCCCACAGCACAGGGCTGATGTGTCTCTTGAAGCCGCTAAGCACTTCTGGTCATCTGCTTCCTGGGTTGCGCCAGAAGGACACCTCTCTTCCTGTGCCCCTCCCAGCTCTGCCCTCCAAGCAGACCCGGCCACCTGTTATCCAGCTGCCTCCAACAGGGCTTGGCTGCCCTGCAGGGACTGCTGCCCAGGGACAGGAGCGCAGGGACGGGAGCGCTGCTCCCCTGCCCCGACCCGACTCCCTGTTGCTGCGCCATCCCACCCCAAGACCTCTCCTCTCTCGGTGACTGGCTTCCATGGTCACTCTCCTGTAGCTCCTTCTTCTCTGAGTTGTTAGCTGAGCCCCTGGCAAGGAGGGATCGGCCTCCCCTAGAAAGCACACACACGCGTACACACACACTTCAAACAACAGACTTCTGAGAACCGCCAACAGCCTTCCTTCCAGCAGGAGCTCTTGGGTTCTAAGGCCAGGAACCCCTTGGTGTTGTGTCCAGACATAAGCAGCTTGCACTGGAAGATCTTCAAGTGCAGGGCTTCACAGACAGGCGTGGGATGAGGGCTTCCTGGCTCTGTGCTCTACTCTGCACAGCCATGGACAGAACCCTGCCCCTTCCTGGGGAGGCCCCAGCACCCTGCAGGCGCTCGTCGGGCTGAGAACTCTGTGGTTCTGCTATCCCTCAAGCGGCCTGTGCAGAACAAACAAAGCCTGCCGCCCTCTCCCAGCTCCACCAAAGACGGCCAGCAGCCAGCACGTCCCCGCGGGCACTGCCACAGGGCTGCTGCTCTCCTCCTGCAGTTCAAAGAGGACACTTAAAAGGAACCAGGAAAGTACGTGAACAGCCCTCATCCACCAAAATGGCCCAACAGGTAAACCGCTGGCTTCCAGAAGAGGAGCAAATGTCAACAGACCCACACCTCAGCCTTTCCCGGCGGTGCTGGGCCCGGCAGCCTCAGCTTCACAGCTGCTTGTGCCAAACCCTGCCAACGCCTCGGCCTTCGGGGTAGAGGATTACAGAGCGAGAGAGGGAGACGAGGGGGATGGCTCCAACACTGAAGAGCAGCGGGGAGTGTTCCCTAGCTTGAGCCCAGATGGTAGTTACACGGATGGCTAAGTGTGTGAAGTCCACACAGCTGAGCATGGAAGCTCCACACTCCGTGCGCCTCGCTGTTTGCAGTCTACACCCCCATCAGATGCTAGCAAACTTCTTACAAAGCTGCCACTCCCCAGGCAGAGATACACCGACACTCTGACCCACAGTTATCTGCCGGATGCCCCAGTCGGCACTGAGGGGCCCTCTAATAGAAACTGTAAATGCAGAAAAGGCTCATGCGGCCCTCCATGCGGATCCAGAAAGATCAGACTTCTTGGGGGGATTTCTCCAGGAAGTAAAGTCGGGCATCCACAACCAAGCGCGAAGCCTGCTCTAGTCACTGGGGCGGGCCCTGCTTCCTGCCGTCAGGTGGGAGGAAACAAGCCCCACGCCAGCCAGTAGAGGGACCCCTCCATCTGCCCCCACCCTAGATGGAGGCCCTAACGGGCACAGCAGCAGCCACACCTACCTAGCTGCAGGGCACTCAGCTCCCCATCTGCCTTCTCAGACGCTGGTAACAGGTGCTTCCTGGAAAAAAGAAAAGGACAGTGTTCCTGAGGAGAACGACAGAGAAACACCAACAGCAGGGAGGAGTGGACGGGGTGCAGGAAACAGGGTCTCCCAAGCACCGGCCCCGCCACCCTGTGTGTGCCTCGAGCAGGTCACTCCCTCTCCGCCAGCCACAGGCTCCTTGAGGAACGGGGTCAAATGGCCTGGGGGGACCGTGGCTTCTGTGTTCTCACAAAGGAGCATGCGCTCCAGCCACTAGAGCATGACCCCTGGCAAGCAGCATGGCTCCCCCTGGCACTGCTGGCAAACTCAGACATAAAGCAAGCACGTGTCACCACCCCCAGAACGTATCCCTCTCTTCGCCGTGGCTTGGGTTGGTTTGTCCGCTCTCTCCTGGAGCTCAGGTAAAGCCATCAGCACTCATTCATAAGAAACCTCTGAAATGCACCATGGCGTTCAAAGCACACCTGTATCTTTGGGTTATCTGTAATTCAGATTTGTAAACTCATGGATGTCCACGCAGATCTGTCTTACCTGGGTTACCTGTATCATAGCTCTCTTGAGATTTTTTTTTCCCCTCTAGTGTGCATCCATCTGAACTAAAGTAAAATCATTTGCTAAAAAGAATGCATTAAAAATAACAATATTATGTCACCCTCTGAAAACCCATTTACCACGTAAGCTATGACAGCCCTTTTGAACGTGGCATTGAAATATCTTTTCCTCCAACATCCTTGCCGGGCAAGATATGACTGCAGTCACAATTGCAGGCCTGCCGTGATGCAGACTATTGAATTGGCTTCCTCCTGAAGATGTATGGAGGGCGGGACGAGGACCACAGATGGCACGCAGTACCCAGTGTGCGAGCACGCGCTCCTCAGCACGCCAGGTGTCTTTGCCTCCTGTCCTCCCTGGAGGCTCAGCCTCTACATGACCTTCCCAACTCAGCCACACCACTGTCCCCGATGCAAAGACACAAAGCCCCTGCACCCTGACACTACCTGGATTCTACAGGTGTCCTTGTGGGATGGAAGGAAGAGATGGGTGTGGAAGGGCAGCGAGGCTGAGGCCCCACAGATAAAGAAGGGCCGTCATCAGAAGCCACTGCCCAAAGTCTGCACCTGCTCTGAGTTCTCCCCTGCCTGCGCCTCCATCACTGTCCCATCTGGAGACTGAGGCAAGGTGGCCACCCCTAGCTGTGCCTCAGTAGCCTAAAATGGAAGGACCGGGGCACCGGCGCCCGATGGCCTCTCAAATCCCTTCTGAACCATTGCCCTCAGGGAGCGGCAGGAGCAAAGCCATCTCTCCAACATCCGAGCCCACTACCATCTCTCTGGAACCCGCTTCTGTACTCTGCCCCTCCGTCTCTCACCCAGGTTATTTTAACGGCTTGCTGACTGGTTTCTGGTTTCCTGGCCCCCAGGGCAACCCACCTCTCAGCCCACCACATCTGCATATGGCTGTCAAAGCCAGCTGCCCAGGACACAAGGCTGACCACGACGCCGCTGCCCGGCTACAGGTCTTCAAAGCTTCCGCATCACCCCCATTGCCAGCACCAGCAACAACCACCTGCATAAACACGACAGCAAGAATAACAGCAACGTCTTCCTGGCTCCTTCGCTCCAGGCACTGTGCCGAGTGTCTTGCAAACCTCAAAAGTTATCTGCTTCTCAGAAGAGCTCGATGACGTGATGACTTCCCAGAGTTTCAAAAAGATGTAGTCATTTCCCCAGAGTTCCCCAGCAGGCGAGTGGCAGTGCAAAGGAATTAAACTAATTGATAACTGCAAAGGTAAAGGCAGCGGCCACCACACAATGGCTCCTACAGAAAATAAGATCCAGGTCTAGGAAGGTGTCCCACAAGGCTCTCCACGCACCAGTCACCCACTGCCCGTCTCATCTTGTCCTGTGCCACCACACTGCACCTGGATTTCCTCCCTCCTGGAAGTCTTAGCCCACATGGCCACGTCTTCTCATAAGCCACTCACTCATCTCCAGCAACCCCTAGCAAACTCATACTAATCCACTGAAGCCCAGCTGGAGCATATGCATGCCAACTCCAATGCATTCATTTCTTCACTATCCAGCTCACATGCCGGGGCGGGTGGCGGGGTCTGGAAGGCCTACCTCCCTGCCTAGAAGGGACTCGGGATGTGGTGTGACAGGGTGAATCACAGCCCCCAAAGGTACAACGTGCTAATCCCCAGAACCTGTGCATGTTATCTCATCTGGCGCGGGAGGTGTTCTGCACGGGATTAGGTTATGGGTTTTGAGGTGAGGAGAGTATCCAGGGTTACCACAGTGGGGCCTGTGTAATCACCAAGGTCCTCACAGGAGAGGAGGAGGCTGGTGTGATGGCAGAAGCAGAGAGTGAAGTTTCGGACTCTGCAGACGGGGGCAGGAGTGGCAAAAGCCAAGAACACAGGAAGACACAGAAGGTGAGAACAGCAAGGAAACACACTCTCCCAGGAGCCTCCAGAGACAGGCGGCCCTGCTGATACCTTGACTTCAGCCCAGTGGGACTGACTTTGAACCTGAGCCCTCCAGAACTCTGATGTAATAAATCCATTCGGGCTAAAGCCACTAAGTGTGTTACTTCCCATTACAGCAGCAATGGGAAACCCACACACAAGGCGAGAGTTGTCAGCAAAGGGGAAGCATGGGCTCTCCTGGTCACTTCCGCCTAAGTGGGTACTGAAGTGATGCCCGCAGAAACCGATGACTTACACGATGCAGCACAACTCGGAAGTGCCACAGCTGGCCACTGGCTTCAGACACTCTACATTCTCTTTCCTCTGTTTCTACTTTCCTTCCCCTGCCTACAACTCCATGACTTCCTGCAGACCATGGGACAACGTCCAAGCCTCCCAACTGAGTCCCCCGGCTCCTGAGCGAGGGCCACCAGTCATGGTGAGGAGGTGGGGGAGCTGTGCTGCTGGGTGGGGTGCAGCTGGGCCTCTCCCCCCAGTCATGGGACTTCCACTCGGAAGCCCATCCATCAGCTGTGAGAGCCAGCTCAGACGCCGTGTGCCCATTCCCACAGATGGCTTCACCAGCGGAGACCACGGCTCTGCTCACATGCAGAGAATGTGCTCATTGTTCCTTTCATGTGTCGCTTTGTAGTACAAGCACTACAAAGTTGAAAAGGTCACTTTAAAAGCATGTTCTTGCCTTTGAGTGAACAATATTGTGAACAACAATGGCAAAAGTGATAAATCAAGGCTTTCAAAATACTTATTCTTCCAAGTGTGATTGTGCAGATAACCCGCAGCCATGTGTCAAAGTGTGCATCTAATAAATCCACGGGGCCGGCGGCAGGCGTCCAGCCTGCCTGCTGTGTCCCAGGCCTCCGCCGCCCACTCCAGCTCCTCTCTGGGCCCTGCAGGGAAGGCAAGGGCCAGACACTGTGTTCAGGGCTACCTGGGACCAGGACTCAATCCCTGAACCCTTGGCTGGGTTGAAAGAGTCACTCAGAGACCTGGTCATTTTTTTTTTTTTTTTTTTTTTTTTTTTTTTT